TTGTAATCTGATGGCAATTTCTGCAATCCTGGGGTTCCTATTATATTTTTATATGCTGTAGTGCAATTTTTGGGAGCATTTCAAGTTGCTATACGTCAATGCAACCATTATAGCCCAAATTTTAATAATATGCATTAAGTGCATAGTAATTACATAAATTGCAAAAAAAATGCAATAAACTACAAAAAAAAATCGTTTTTGTTTTTTTAACATATATTTCTAGTTAGAGAAATTTAAGAGGCTTATCCCTCAAAACTGTAAATACAAAAAAGTTGCACAAAATAGTTTCCCACCACAGGAAATTTATTTTGAGTGTCTTCATAGTTTTATTTTTGAAATACACCAATTTTTATATACTGCAGGAAAAACGAAAATAATTATTTTAATGCAAATTTGCAAAAAAAATCATATGCATCAAAATAAACTATTTCCAGCAGTGCAATTTGAGTTCTAAGCATCCCAGAAACTATTCAGAAAGTCATAAAGTCAAACATGACTTTTAAAAACACCAGTATTGTCAGGGTTTCTGGATCGTTGACCGAGTATTTTCAGTTCACGTTCACTGTTTATCTACTGCCTGTTCCACTTCCTGTTTTATTGTGTTAGCCTTGGTCTGTGTGCATTATGTTCAGTCCTCTTCCCATTTATCATTAGTTCATTATGTTCAGCTGTTCACTCACCTGTCTCCAATCGTTGTCATTGTTAGTCATGTATTTAAGCCCTCTCTTCCCTTCAGCCCTTGTCGTGTCATTGATGTTATGTTGTCATTCCTGTTAGTGCTCAGTTATTCAGCCAGCCACTCAGTCTTTCAGTCAGCTAGTCAGTTCTTCCGTTCCTGTTTTGTTCATTCACCCGCTCCAATAAATCCTCATCATTTCTGCACCGTGAGTCCTGCGTGTGGGTCATCTCTTCCACGCCTCCACACACAACCCCTGACAAGTATAGGCTTATAAGGCCCTGAAGGTAAAAACTACATTTCCGCAAAAACGACGTCACTTCCGGTTTCGGGCAGGACTTGCGATAGTTCGCGCTGATGTCTATTCCAACGTAGGAAGTGTTACAAACAGCTGATCGGACCGGCAAATATTATGTTTTTGTTGCTGCAAGTGCTTTTTATGCAATTTTTGCAAAGCTATATGTGGAAGGAAACCGTGACCTAGGACAAGCTGATGGCATAAGATGTAAGTACAACTCCTCCGGTTTCATATGCAAAGAAAATTATTGCGCTAGCTTATGTGGTTTCAGTTCTACCGGGATTTAAAAATAGTTACGCAAAACGGAGCGTGCCTGCTCCGACCGGGTCCAAAGCATTAAAGTCCACAATATCGGCCTGTTTCTTGGAGGATGAAGTGCTGGGAATAAAGAATGTTAAGCTAGCTGTATAGCTGAAATTACGTTGCTTGCAACAAACTTTAGTGAGGACAGCATAGTTACTCACATGTTAATTTTGTCAAATTTGATCCTCATCAGAGTCAAAAAGGACAAAGTATGCTTTAGCATGTTGCTACCTTCTGGAGAACATGCTTTTCTACTATACTACAATAAAGTGTAAGTCCACATCCACTACAGTACCAAGCATGCGCACACACAGCACAGAGCAGGAAATATGAAGTGCAGCATACAAACCATTGCAAATAATTAAAAGGGACGAAAACAAAGGCGGCACGGTGTTTAGCACTGTTGCCGCACAGCAAGAAGGTCCTGAGTTCAATTCCACCATCAGGCCGGGGTCTTTCTGTGTGGAGTTTCCATGTTCTCCCCATGTTTGCGTGGGTTCCCTCCAGGTACTCCGGCTTCCTTCCATCGTCCAAAGACATGCAGTTAGTGGGGATAAGTTAATTGGTCAATCTAAATTGCCCATAGGTGTGAATCTGTGAGTGAATGCGAGTGCAACTGGTTGTCTGTGTCTCTATGTGTTAGCCCTGCGACAGACTGGCGACCTGTCCAGGGTGTACCCCGCCTCTCGCCCTATGACAGCTGGGATAGGCTCCAGCACCCTCCGCGACCCTGGAAAGGATAAGCGGAAGCGAATGAAAACAAAGGTGCAGAGAGAGTCGAGATAAGAGACAAACAAAAGTCTCCCGAAAGTTAAGACGAGGAAATATGGCGAAGCGTATGTAGCGCTGAAGTTGATCTATAATTTTCTTTTTTCTTTAATGTCAATAAGGATACAATGTTACAATTGTACTTACAGGAACAATTTTATAGCCAAACGATATTATTTATAGTCGTGGGGAAGAGTGGGGGGAGCGCAAAATGTTTTCTTTTTCCTAATGAGGGTGTCACAGAAAATAATTCAGAAGCACTGACTTTGACTGTTTTCTGTATATTCTGACACATGATGGCAGTGCGGGGTAAAAAGTGCTCTGTGAAACAATATTTGGAGCATTTGTGCTGTAGGTTTATCGAGGTGTTCTCCACAGTGACCCCTGCTGGCCATTGTGACAATCACTATATTTTGATGAAGCTGTTCTGTGAAGCAGTAACATAGACAAGCCCTCCAAAACTCCAAAGAAAGATACTCATTATATCAGACTGTCAATGGTTGTGTCCAAACACAAGCAAGGCAATAAACATATTGATAAAGACAGCAAGCTGTGACTTTAATGATCCGTGTGCTTCAGCAAAATCCTCTTTCTGTTAACATATGTGTTGCTCCCAATAAATCAATTTATAAAGTAAAACATACAGAGAAAAGACTGCACTGAAACCAACTGTATTGACAGGAGTGCTGGTAAAAGACGAAGAGCAAAACAAGGAAGTGATGGAAGTATCATCTGTGAGGAAGGCTGCATGTTAACCCTGCCATGAGTGTTAATGATGAAGATTAGTCTTCATATTTAACTGTCGTGGCGTCTCTTTATGGAGATTCAGATGATGAGGATTTAAATCAAGCTATAATTGCCAGCTTGGAGAGTCACATGTGAGTAGCAAATCAACAGAACTTCAGCTTAAGAGGGGCAGTCATGGAATTGTCAAATGAATAATGAAAAATCTCACTTTAAGAGATATACGAGTGGAACTGTCAAGCAAAATTAGCACAAACAGATTGAAAAATTTAATAAGAATAAAAAGTTGTTTTTTTTTTCTTAAATCTAGAAGCAACATGAAAAGAGACTGCAGCAGGATCCACTGACTTACTATGCTACTTTAATATTTTTTTTCCCTCCGATAAGTAGATGGGCACTTGGAAAGAGCATTCTCTGTGGAGGCCAATCAATAATTTCACAATTTTAAAGGAGCGTGTAGCCACAAAAAAAATTCAATAAGTTCTTCTGTATCCCAAGCAAAGCCACTAGATCCATCTCAGTTTGGCAGAAATATAATAATTAAATTCATAGATTTGGAGAATTGAGACTTCATTCATTCTCTGAAGAAAACTGTATAACTCTGTTATGTTTGGACTTTAATTCTACCCTCAGTCTTTTATCCTATTGCATCAACTCATTCGTATGTAGGTCCTCCATGTGTCTGCATTTTCCCTGTTTAGTTTTCACATTTCCTGCTTTATTTTATTTTGTTGCCTTAAATGTTACCTCCTTTGCCTCATCAATTGGCGATTGGCTTCAGCCCTGTCTCATTTTCTTGAGCTGTCTCCACTCCTCTAATCATCCTTCTGTGTATATTTAGTCGCTGCCTCTCCTTAGTTTTGTGCCAGTCTTCCTTCTGTGTTTTTGGTCGTCCTCTCTACAACATACATGACGGTTTATTTGGGTCGGTTATCTCAGTTTGATGCCATGTTTACATCCATGTAGCATGCCCTTGACATTCTACCACAATCAAATAACTTTACTTCACAGGAATACGAAATGCAGAAGAAAGAGAAGCACTGTTTAATATAGATATAAAAATCCATTTTTATAACACATGTTCTGATTGGCCTGTCTGTGTCCTTCCTTACACCAACCTCAAACAGCTCCTGTGGTTTTGACTGAATGTTTATATTTCCTGTCCTTTTCAAAAACAACAGCTTGTTTCTTCTGTTGTGTTGTTATCTTTATCTATAGATGTGCAAAGTTGTTCTGTTTCTTCAAGCGGACATATTTCGCCAAGTCATAATTTTCACCATTTTCTTCTTTAAAAACTCTTATGTTATTTTATTTTTTTTAAATATATCATTATCTTGCAAAGAGCTGCATCATCTTATCAAAAGCACCTTGTGCAACAGAACTCCACTGGAACAGGATCTTGGGTGAAGTGAAACAGGTTATAGGAGACTTCAGCAGCTACTTTACTAAAATCATGGCTGAATATGTGATAAAAGTTGGCAAGAGAACTGTGGACTTACAAATTGGATCTGTGTTATTTGCCGCTCTCTGCTCATCTGTACTATGTGGATTATAATTTTCAGAAGGAATTGGACTATTATGTTGGATATATATAACTGATGTGATTTGATGATTATTTTGTGATGATTATTTTTGAATCTGCTTTTGTTTTACTCCTGTTAAATTGCTTTAATAAAATTTCATGCAAACAGTAAAAGGAAAACTGCAGAATATAATAATTGAATGGGTTTTCCACGTGTCTGCATGGCCCCTCTCCAGGTACTCCAGCTCCATCCCACAGTCCAGAGACCTGCATGTTCGGTTAACTTGTGATTCTAGAGTGGTTGTAGGTGTGACTGTGAGCCTGAATGTTTGTGTGTCTCTGTGAGTTAGTCATGTGACACAATGGTGAACTGTCCCAGTGTGTTACAGCTGGGAGAGGCTCCTGTGATTCTGAATTAATAAGTGGAAGAACATGGGTTGATAATTCCTTTTTACATGATGTAGATTTTTAAACTCAAATAGTAAAAGTATTTGTTGGTGTCCACACCAGCACTTCCTAAGAAACTCTGCTGACTTTAAGTCGTTGCTATCAGCTACAAAAACCACAGGCTTCAAACTTTTATCTCACTGCTGTTGGAACAGGATACATTCAAAGTTTTATACAAAAGTTCAACAATGAATATAAAAAAAAAAAATCAGCTGAATATAAAGAGCCTGGATCTGAAACAGGACACACCCTTGTGTGTGTTATGCTAAGCGAAAGTAACAAGTCTATATCATATTATTATTCAATATCATCTTCATAAACACTAAAAAGTGAGCGCGTCTGATATTTGAGCAGCAGAGGAGCAACAGTGGATTCATAAAATGCTCCTTTTTGCTGCTGCAGCTCTCCTCACTAACCTGTAAGACAAACACACAAAGAACAGAAATGTCCAAGTTTCAGGATGTTCACCATTTAATAACTTGAAGAATAACTCATCCTGCATGGCAGCATAATTACCAGGAAAGCTTCCTAACGTGACTTCAGAATAAACTGCTGCATCAGCTGCAGGACTTGATTTTCCTGTGAGTGGAAAGAAGATTTTAAGACCAGAGAAGTCAGAGCTCAGGATACATTTGATCAGCAGATATATGACACAGAGCTGTTGGACGTAGAGGTGGATTTAAACTGCAGATTTGTCAGCTGCAGCCATTAACAGCATTAATTCTACGCTCCCCTTAATGATTCTCGCTCTTTGTAGTTTCACTAGATTATTACTTTAGCTGCCAAGTACAGAACAGACTACTTTAAGTGCTAAGAGCAGCATGTAAGAGCCAATGATGAGATGTAATACTTCACAAAGTTTCCTTTACTGTTACACAAAAAGTTAACAATTTAGACTTTTGAACAAAGGATATTTTATTTAAGGAAATTAGCAAAACAAAAATCTTAATCAATAATAATCATGTAATTCAATCACCTGACTGTTATCCTAATGTAACTAATCTACTCAGTGCTATCACTGATTTCAGATATAGTGTTGACATAAAAAAAAAGATAATTTCAGTTCATAAGTCCACAGCGATTGAGCAACTGAAACTTTTGACCGTGAACTCCACAGTTCTTTCTTCCAATGTTGCTGATGTTACTCATCTGCAGCAAACTACAAAATGAACTCATATACTCATTTATACTCTGCATCACCCACCCTGTGTTTGAGTGCTTTGAATGATGACAACACAACAACACAGTATCATGCTAAACAAATACACCTGACTTAATGACTAACCCACCAAAACCTAAATGACTGCAGATTAACTCTGCTGATGTATAGTGGTAGTGTGTAGTAGGTAAGCTTGATAAGTGAATAATTAAACTCCATGTTGACCTATAATTAGCTGCAACATAATGAAATGACACATTTCAGTACAAACACTGAATGAGACTGTTGTGACTGTACCTGCAGCTCCCGTCTTCACCTCAGAGTAAACAGCACTCTGCTCTGGTTCATGATGCTTCCCTGTGAAGATGATCAGATTATTCAACATGTGAAAAAAATTAACTGTTAATTTTTTAACATTTTTTATTTATTGTATTTTTACATTACATTTACATTTATTGTTTTTAAACTGCATGTGTTTTATTTACTTACTCTTCTTTTGAAGGTTTTTAAGGTCAATAAGAGAGTATGTGACATCTTGATGTTGATCTGATCCTGAAATGTTCATATTTTAGTTACAGGAATGTAAACATGTCATATGGAATTAGTTTCATTAAATCAAAAGCAAGTTTCATCTCTAACTGCTCTGTGCTTTTCTGCACATATACTGACCATTTCTGTTGTCTTCCACGTGCATAACATATTCAGAGAGGTTATTGGTACCTAAAAAAAAAGACAAGCCAGGGTCACATGAATCATTTTAATAAAAACCTAAAAGAGATTAAATATTCCTCTTTAAGTCAAAACCAGAACTATGAGATATTTTCAAACCATTAACCCATAATGTTGTTATTGTTTGTGTTGTTATGATATTAAACAACAGCCGTTCTCACTCCCGGGGCGTAGCATACCAATGTTTTGTCACGTCCCGCAGCGTTCCTGAGGATTGTGAAAGGTGACCTTCCTTGTGTGGCAAGCCATCCTGGCCAAATATCGCGATGGCTTGCCATATCCACGTTCTTATGGTAGGCGCCGGGTTATGGATGAATTCCTGTGCAATGACGGTCCCGCGGTAATAGACATTCCAGCCATGTATTCCAGCCCTAAACCTAACCTTATCCCTAACGTTAACCAGCACTTTAATAAAGTGAAATAGTGTTTTCCAAAGCAATTTTAAGAAAATGAACAAACATGTGTAGAGTGCGTCCAAACGGTTCTCATGTTTTCTTATTTTTCCAATGTTGTCATTTAGGAACGTGTTGGGTACCCAAAAGCGTAAAATGTTGATGATTTGTCACCTAGCGTAAAATACTACGCTTAGGGAGTGAGAACGTGTTGGAAACAACATCTCTGTGGATTCTTTCAGTAAAGATACACTCAGGTTGTAAACTCGTGTTTGTTTCTGATTTTATGTTCATGTGGCATTTGGCTGTTTGGATTTTTGTCTAACTGGATTTTGATAAAGATCCTTTGAAAAACTGCTGAACACAAACTGAACCTGTTTGAAACTGTTTCTGTTAATGAAGACTGAATGAAAAGTCAATATTAATAATGATAATATTATTTAAATGGTTTAAATACTGACCATGTTGAAGAGAGTTGTACTCATGAGTTTCATTCTGGTTGACTCCATGATTTGTGGAGGAGCCCGGACTGTGACTCTCAGACTGGATCGACCTGAAACAGGAAATAAACACAATAAACTTAAAAGTAACTGATGTTTGTTTAAAATAATAATAAAAAGTATTTTACCAACCTGGTGAAGCAGGAATCTGTGAAAGAGACAAATGTTATTACACATGTTTGTCATGTATAAATTGTTCCACTGATATTTAGTGTCATGAGATCAGAATACATGTATATGTGTGAATAATTAAAGTGTATGTAGTAAATAAACTCTCTAATACAGCATGAAAAGAAGAGGCTCTTACACTTGGACTGTCTGCAGCGATACAACAAGAGCAGGAGAATAATAATGAGAGAGACTCCACAAACCAGTCCAACCATCAACCACACAGGAGGAAATGAAGAGCTGTCAGCTCCAGACACAGTTACTGTAACAACAAACAATAATTAATTATTAATAAAGTGTAAAAGAAGAACTCTGAGAGCACAAATCTCTGCTAAGGCAGCTCACTCTGTTGACAGCATTTACTTTTAAGGAAACAATATTGTATTTTCAGTGTATTTATTTTGTTTTATTTGTACTGTGAGAAGTTTTTAGTTTAGTAAAAATAAGTCCAAAGGCAGATTTTTTCAACATGACAACAAGGACACATGTGAAATGTAAAAGTGAGGTCAGAGGTCAAACGTAACAGGATATTTTAAATCTTTATACAGTATTTTCTATATGTTGACAAGACACAACACCTTTGTAAGAATCATAGTTTCTATGTTATAAGGATTTCTTTTTAGTCATTAAGTTGACCTTGAAGACCTCGGTGGCTGTAAGCCAAATGTTAATGGATAGTTAACATGACTGCAGCTCGTCAGTAACCAGGCAGGTCTGCTGGGATCCTTTCTAGGAAAATAAGGTTTGTATGATAACAGACTTTCCCCTTGTTTCAGTTTCTTCCTGCTTCAAGATTCGTTTTCATGCCATCATTCACCTCCAGTCAGACGCCTGCCACCTTGGATCATTACCCCCCTATTCACCACCACTGCTGCCCCCCTCGGAGCCTCTTCCTCACTTGCCTGCCTGCCCATCGTTCAGCAGTTTCCTTGGGCCTCTGCGTTATCCTTTACTCCCACCTAGTCTGGACTCCAAGTAAGGCATAGTTGCAGCCACTTTATGAACACTCTCTGTCTTGTCACATTCCCTCAGATTTCCTGCCCTAACTGCTCTCTCCTCTCCCACAGATCTGCCGCCCTCACGCTGTTATGTCAGCTCCTCTGGCCTGTCTCTCTCACCTCAGTTAAGATGTTTTTGTAGGACTCACTCCTTAAGTTTAAGTTCATTTATGTTTTGTTCTTGTTGACCAAGTCAAAGTTTGCAATCTGTTGTGTTAAATTATTTATCCTTTGTTTGAGTAAAAAAACCTTCACTTATTACATTCTCTGCTGTTTTCACTTGAGTCCTGAATCACAACGATATTAAACCTGACAATATAGAGATATTACATAATAATTTTATAATAGTTCTGACAAAATAGATCCAGGTGACTTCGAGCCTTTAAACAGACAATCTAATGTTCCTTCTCAAGCATGAAATCCATTAAAATCCATCACGTTTTGATCCTGCTCACCTTTAACTGACATCCAGCTCTGTGCTGACTCTCTTCCTGAGTACTGACACTTGTAGAAACCTTCATCAGACTTTGACACTGCAGAGATCTTCAGCTCCCCTCGGGTATCATTTTCAATAAGTTTGTCATTGTGATAGAAAAACACATTGGAAAGTATTTTTTGTGTTTTCAAAATGCAGCTCAGACTAACAGAAGCTCCCTCAGTCACAGGATGAACAGGACTCACCAGGATAGGACCATCATCATCTGTGACACAATCACACACAATTGTTTCAGTCACATCAGCTGGTGCACACTTTTAGAAAAAGCTGTGAGTCGTGTCTCATGATCTACATGCAGACCTGGCTTCAGAGAGATTTTCTGAGAGCCTGGTTTTAATGACTGGAGAGACGTTTGAACAAGTGACAACATTTAAGGATTGAAATGTTCAGTTACAGTTGGTTCATCATGTGGATCATTCAGCACTTGCATTTTTGTTAGAAGGCCGAGGGTCCATGGAGTAAATAAATGCATCATGTTACTATTCTATATGGAGATTGTTGAATCAGTTATCTATTATGGTATCACTACATGTTTTGGCAAACTTTCTGTCAAACTCAGATCCCAAATTCAAAATTTGATTAAGAGGACTGGAAATATAGTTGGGATGCTCCCTTCATCCTCCCTCCAGGAGTCAAACTATGAAATTATTTAATGGTTAAAGTTGAAATTGTAAATGTTTACTTTTTTTGTTTTATTTTACATGACGTGTTTCCCTATTCCTTTATTCTGAAAGGGAGAATATATAAAATATTGTCTGCATATTTTGACAAACTTGATTATAGAAAGATCGAGTGAAATGAGACCAACAATCAAGAATATTTTGATGCTTTGGTGCCTGTCTGAAAATGATCATTGATCATTGTTGTTTGTTTTGCCACATAGAATTACTTCACATAGAGCAAAGCTGAGACAAATGTTCATGTGACGTTTAAATCATTCAGATCCAAGAAGTAAATGTATAATAACATACTCTGTACAGTGATGTTGACTGCACTGCTGAACTCTCCTGATCCAGACTCACACCAGTACACTCCAGTATGTGACTTTGATGCTTTGATGTCACATGTGGATCCAGTCATTCTCCTACAGACAGAGAGTCGGCCGTCCTCAGAGAACTTCCTCACTCTCCACTCAGTGAAGTTTCCCTCACAGGTCAGTGAGACAGAGTCAAAGGTGAAGTGTTGCACTCTGTCAGGACTCACTGTGAGAGACTCTGCTGAATGAACATCTGGAAACAACATGCATTGAAGAGACAAAGCTCACAGATGTTAGGATTCAAAAGATCACAGTGAAAAAAATAGTTCTTGCTAAACCCACCATAACTGCAAATAAATCTATGAATGAGATTTGTTAATACAGATTTAAATGTTGTGACTCCTGTAGCTGGAAAGATTTCACTGAACCATCTGGGTCTCTCAGTAATAATCTCACAACAACATTAGAAGCTACTTGAAGTTTCTATAAACTTGCTTTCCTACAGTTTGTCCACAGCGTGCATGTTTGTTGCTGCACAAGCAAATATCTTCATCATCTGTCATGTAATAAGATGTCTGACATTTGTGACCTTACTACAAACAGTCAGATCATTATCAGACAGTTTAACATCAGCAGATCTTAAATGTTTGTTGTCTTTGCTTCTACAAATCATGACAGCACTTTTATGGGCATCATGTCTGATATCATTTTTCACAGCAAAAGAAGAAGAAGCTGGGAAGGAGCTGCTTGAGACCACGAGATCATCTGTGTACATAATGTGCTTCACAGGAGTGCTGCCAGCTTTACAGACTTTCTAATCATCACCATGAATTTAAAAAGACCTGGAGACAAAATTCATTCTTGTTTAACTCGGTGAGAAACAAACAAGGAGGAATTTGAATAACAACAGAAGTGTTTGACTGAAGCTCAGTTTACTTGAATGTAGTGAGAAAGGATGAGATTCAATTTAATGCTTATGAGGAAACTTAAATAAAATCATTTAATGCAATTTAATTGTAATTGGACATCAGATTTCAATGTCAGCATGCCGCTGCAAGAAAAATAATGGTGAATTAAAGTGATGACATAATTTATTAGAGAGACACAAGCTGACCTGCAGACCAGACAAACTTTGGTTGACTGTGATCAGTGTGATACTCTGGGTCTCCTCTTCCAGCTCTGCACACATATCCTGCTGTGTGTGTCTGTCCATGAATGATGTAGGAGTTGTTTGCAGTCCTATTGCCATCAGGTAGCAGCTCATAACTGGAGGATTTCTCTGATAGATCAGGAACAGCTTTATACCAGTAGAAGCTCCATCCTGCAGACGGATGTTCAACCTCACAGTTCAGAGTTACTGAGGCTCCAGGACTCAGCCATGATGGAGACACAGTGAGGACAGGACGGGGTTTATCTGTTCAACAAAGATTTTCTCTCAGTGAACATGTAGTACAGTCTCTGAACAGTGAGCTCAGTTTATACAAAGAATAATAATCTCAGTCTATATGAACAGAAACACATTTTACAAAGTGTTCAAACAGCTTAAAGCAAATATGACTTACTGTCAGAAACTGTCAGTGTGACTGAATCACTCCACTCTGTTGTTTCATGCTGTGAACTTTTCATTCTGCCCTTACAGCGATAGTTTCCACTGTTGGATGATGAAGCAGATCTAATCCTGTATTCATTTTGATTTGGAGGTTTTCTGATGCTGTTTGTTTCCCACTCATAATCCCACTCAGTGTCTCCTCCGTGGATCTCACATCTGACAGTGATCGTCTCTCCTCTGTATATCTCAGACCAGTTTGGATGCAGAGTCACAACAGGCCTGATTGAGGCTGTTACTGTTCAAGAAAGTCCAATAAAAACACATGGATGACAAAAGGTACAATTACCATCAGATGTAGTGCTTTGTGGTAAGTTCAAGTTTGAGCTCACCAGTTGTGTCAATCCAGACTGACTCACTGTCCTCTGCGTAGTAAACTGGTTCTCCTCTTCCTCCTCTGCAGCTGTAGAGTCCTCCCTCTGAGACACTGATTTGTTCATTTCTCGCAGGTTCAGAAGATTTCCCATCTCTGTACCAGTAGTATTTCCATCCAGATGATGATGATGATGATGATGATGATGATGGACTCACAGAGCAGGTCAGGGTCACACTGCCCCCTACTGGAACAGCTGTCCTATAAGCTCTCAGTTCAGCCTTTGGTTTCGCTGCAGTTCAGTTTAGAACAAGAACATAAAAGTAAAAATGACTGAATCAGAACAATTTAAAGATCTGGATGGAAAAATTTAAATGATCAAATATCACAAAACTTTATTGGTGAAGCTATAACAAAGTGTGTGACACAAAATACTCTGAAATACTGTTTTGATCTGCACAGCAATTTTTTTTAAAATTTACTTCAGTGTATTTAAAATTAATTAATAAATGCATAGTTCGTTTACTCTCATTAATTTGAAGCATGACTTAGTTAATTCATCTGTAATGAGAAAGTAACCCAGGTTAATATGATCTGATTGTACTTAGCATGCTATGTCCTTGTGTTCTTTACTAAATCTGCTGTTAAAACCTCTGATAGCTAAGATGAGACCTAGTAAGTGTGTTTTATATTCTTTTGCTGTGGAAGCTGACATTTCCTGTCGATGTGCACAGATGTGTCAGAATGGGTTTTAAAAGACACATCGATGGTTTGGAGGAAGTAATTACTGAAGCTAACTCAGAAAGATCAATTAGAGAAAAAACTCTTAATAAATAGGTACTGAAAGTAGCTGCACATAATGTTTTGTCTGTGAGATGATTATGAGTAATTTCTATACTCATTAAATGTAATTACTCTAAATTAATAACATACCAGCACAGACCAGCATCCAATAAAATGAGGCCATATTGTCGTCTGCAGTTCAGAGTTCATGAAATGGCCTGTATTTGTATAGCGCTTTACTAGACCCTAAGGACCCCAAAGCGCTTTTCACATCCAGTCACCCACCCATCCACACACACATTCACACACTGGTAATGGCAAGCTACATTGTACCCACAGCCACCCTGGGGCGCACTGACAGAGGCGAGGTTCATTAAGAGAAAAAGACCCAGTGTGTGTTTGTCATGAGACCAGACTCTTTAACTAAAACCTGAATCCTCTAAGATCATTTCAACAATAGACAACATGCTAAAAACAACTGAAGTAACTGCATCATATGTTGGTGCAACAGGGAGTAATAAAAATAAAAATAACACAAATACAGAAGTGAAAATATTGGATGTAACTGTTGTCCTTAGTGGATGTGGTGGAGCAGCTGAAACAGGTTCAGCATTTGTTCTGCACTTCATGTATTAGAGCTGCACAGCAGAGACGTTACTCTGATATGTTTTGTCCTCTTCACTGTGAATAAAAAGCTGCTTTTCAAAATATGTTACTGAACAGCACAAATGAAACAGCTACAAAGCTGCAAGAACAACAGATTCTTACTAATGTTGATAAAACAGATCTCCAACTTACATGATACAGTCAGTGTGATGGTATCACTCCACTCTGTTAACAAATAGGTCCTTGTGCCCCGACAGCTGTATTCTACACTGTAAGACTCAGCAAGTCTGCTGATTCTGTATTCATTGGATGTTTCAGGTATGTTTGACTGGCCTCGTCTCCATTCATACGTCCACTGAGCTCCTTCACCTCCCTGAATCTCACAGCTGACAGTGACTGTCTCACCGCTGTATATCTGAGTCCAGGGTGGCTGCAGGGTCACAGTGGGCTTACTGGGAACTGTTTACATAAGAATGATCCAGTTAGGAGAAGAGAAACATAAAAACTCTGCTGTTTATAACATAAGAGTAGAGTCACTGCAAAACAGCTGATTCACAGACAAACAGTTTGAAGACTCAACATCAAAACAAAGTCACAATAAAACTATTTATAGCTTTCAAACTGTAAGACAACATTTTTAGTAAAACGTACAAGTATTTACTTTGTACAGTTATCTTTTATTTATATTCTTTATAAATAAATTTATTATTTACAAAAAGTTACTGATTTTTTTTAATGAGTTGTCTTAAGTCTGATTTACTTTCACAAAGATGCGATCTTTGAGGTGTGTAAGCAAATCAGTGTGGATAAACAAGAAAACACTTTAGATTAAATCTAGAAACAGGATGAGGAGAGACTTTTTTAAATCCCAGGATTAGTTAGGCTCTTGAAGAGGTTACTCTGTCAAGACCAATCCTTAATCTCACAGTCTTAAAGTAGACACAACAAAACTGAAGTTCTTCTATTTTTCTATTTCCATCTCTCCAAGTAATCTTGCTGTCAGAAAGAGAAACAAAAGAACAGACTAGTCCCCAAAGACAGGACGTGACAGTAATGACAACTTTATACAAGACTTTTCAAACTCAAAATTCCACAACTCTTTATAGGAGCAGAAGAATAAACAAACAAAAGTGACAAATGTAGAAAACAGAAACACAGTTCAAAGAACATTAACATGTTGAGTAAAACTGGAGAATTCATCTCATGAAAATATTACTTAAAGGAATTAAAAGGAAGTGACTGACTCCATGTCAGACTCCAGGCCATGAAGCACCTTAAAAGCAAATAATTAAATCCTGAAATCAGTTTGAAAACATGCTGGGAGCCAGTGTAACAGTGGGACAGGTGTAATCCCATGTGATGTGATTCGATGTGATGTGATGTGTTTGAGTTGGTCTGCAGTCATTCATCTGATTGTTTGCTGAGACTGTTTCAGTGATCTAGGTGTGAAAAATCAAAGCATGTAAAATGGTTTCCTGTCTTTAAATGTTGTAAAATGATTCATAACTTATGTTGCAATTAATCCAGAAATATTTTTGTTATTGTCTTGAAATTTTCCAGCAGAGAAGCAGCTGATGGCAGCATGTGTTCAGCATGTGTCCAGCATGTGTTCAGCGTGTGTCCAGCATGTGTTCAGCATGTGTTCAGCGTGTGTCCAGCATGTGTTCAGCGTGTGTCCAGCATGTGTTCAGCGTGTGTTCAGCATGTGTTCAGCATGTGTTCAGCGTGTGTCCAGCATGTGTTCAGCGTGTGTTCAGCGTGTGTCCAGCATGTGTTCAGCGTGTGTCCAGCATGTGTTCAGCATGTGTTCAGCGTGTGTTCAGCATGTGTTCAGCGTGTGTCCAGCATGTGTTCAGCGTGTGTTCAGCATGTGTTCAGCGTGTGTTCAGCGTGTGTCCAGCATGTGTTCAGCGTGTTCAGTGTTCAGCATGTGTTCAGCGTGTCGCTGTGTTCAGCGTGTGTCCAGCGTGTGTTCAGCGTGTGTCCAGCATGTGTTCAGCGTGTGTTCAGCATGTGTCCAGCATGTGTTCAGCGTGTGTTTAGCGTGTGTTCAGCGTGTGTTCAGCATGTGTCCAGCATGTGTTCAGCGTGTGTTTAGTGTGTGTCCAGCATGTGTTCAGCATGTGTCCAGCATGTGTTCAGCGTGTGTTTAGCGTGTGTCCAGCATGTGTCCAGCGTGTGTTCAGCATGTGTTCAGCATGTGTCCAGCATGTGTTCAGCATGTGTTCAGCATGTGTTCAGCGTGTGTTCAGCATGTGTTCAGCATGTGTCCAGCATGTGTTCAGCGTGTGTTTAGCGTGTGTTCAGCGTGTGTTCAGGAGATTCAATGGCAACATTTAAAGTTTCTCCTGAGTTTAACTGAAAAACATTAGCTCACATTCAGTTTTGAAACAGTGATGAAAACTCTGCGTTTGCAGCCACAGACACAAGGCAGCTGGGACAATGACAATTGCATTTATTTTTTTCATGTTACAAACACTTTTTTTTTTCTTTTCCGGATGTTTGACTCTGAATGACGACTGAATATTTTTATAAAGGAAAAACTGTTTTACATGACTTTGGATACTAAACTAAAAAAAAAACCTGCAGTACTGTTTAAAGTATTTTGTTGTGTTTTGGGAATTAAAATGAGTGAAATGTTTCCAACTTACCTGTTACTTTCAATGTGGTGATGTCACTCCACTCTGTCCAGGAAGAGTTTCTTTTGCCCCGACAGCTGTATCCTCCACTGTCAGACTCAGCAGCGCTGCTGATTCTGTATTCACTGGATGCTGAACCTATGTTTACCTGGCCTCGTCTCCATTCATACGTCCACTGAGCTCCTTCACCTCCCTGAATCTCACATCTGACAGTGACTGTCTCACCGCTGTGTATCTCACCGCTGTGTATCTGAGTCTTGGATGGCTGCAGGGTCAGAGTGGGCTTAGGAGGAGCTGTTAAAAAATATCATTAACAAACTTAAATATAAAATCATTATTAAAGTTGTCCCAGTTTTTATTGCTCTTGTTAATGGTAATCATAATTTTGCATGCTGTAGACAATATGAGTTGAAAATCAGCAATAAAAAAGTTTTGTTGTGTTAATTATTACTAAAAGACATAAATGCATGACTGCATTTCTTTTGTGATATGAGGACATTGGCTGATATTCAGTTTGAGCCTCACAAAGACAGTCATTAAGAGAACTCAACATGCCAGGGTCACATGTAATTTTACAATCCAAGTCCAAACTTTTCTGAACCAGTGGATTTAGCACTAGACTTTTTTTAATAATCAGGAATGTAAACATGTGACAGGAAACAGTTTAAAACATCAAGCACATGGGCTCAACAAAGTTTACTAAAAACTTCATCAGCAGCGGATCAAGGTAACTCTCAGTGATTTTCCATGAACTGAACTGTAAATAAATGATCCACATATGGACCTGTTCTACATTACAGGCTCTTCTGAGGTATTCTGACACTCGTGAACACCTGTAGTGGGTGTGGTTTGGAGCTCAGCTGCAGGTTCAGGGGACAGAGTAAGGAGTGGGTGGCAGAAACAGCTGATCCCAGCCGCACTAATGACCTTTTCCCTTATTTTAGTAGCTGCTGGGGTCTGGAGGAGGGGAGTCAGACTGAGACTGAGAGTCAGAGTGTAGCAGAATGGAGGGAAGTGTGTGTGTGTGTGTGTGTGTGTGTGTGTGTGTGTGTGTGTGTGTGTGTGTGTGTGTGTGTGTGTGTGTGTGTGTGTGTGTGTAAACAACAGAGATAAAAAGTGAGCACAGGATCTAAAAGCTCTCCCCTTGTGTGTGTGTTTGGGCGTGTCGTACTGAGGAAACATGTCAGAGTGCTATAAACCATTAGTTTTTCATTCATTTATAAATGTATTCATTAACATCAATCAGTGGAAAGAATCCAAGTAAAACCTGTTGTGAGAAAGGCTTACATAGCAGATCAGTCTCTGATACAATTATATTGTATTTTTAGGCCAAACTTGAAGAGAAATTAATGTAAAAATGCTAAAAACAAAAGAACTGATGGAACTGCAGCAATAAATCCACATGTGGAAATCTTTTTTCCTTCCAAGTGTTTCAATGTGAGTACTTATGATATGAATCTAAAAAACAGTATAATTGAAAGACAGTATTTTGTTGTGTCTTTGGATGAAACATTGTGCAGTATAAATTAAAATGTGAGAAATATGTCCAACTTACCTGTTACTTTCAATGTGGTGATGTCACTCCACTCTGTCCAGGAAGAGTTTCTTCTGCCCCGGCAGCTGTATTCTCCACTGTCAGACTCAGCAGCGCTGCTGATTCTGTATTCATTGGATGTTGGAGGTGTGTTTACCTCAGCTGGTCTCCATTCATACGTCCACTGAGCTCCTTCACCTCCATGAATCTCACATCTGACAGTGACTGTCTCACCGCTGTATATCTGAGTCCAGGGTGGCTGCAGGGTCACAGTGGGCTTAGGAGGAGCTGATCAAATAAAACATAGCATGAGTAGACTGATAATTTGACTTAAAAAATCAACAATAAAAGTTGTTTTTATACTTTTTAAATGTTTTATACATTTATGAACATATAATCCATTACTTGTCAGTTAGCTGTTGTTTGCTAACAATGCTGTTAAACCTCCAGTGGTGGATTCAGAGCTGGAGATTTAAAGATAAACGCAGAAAACTGCTGCTATGAGTAAACATACGAGCAGTTTGAGAAAGGCTAACATAGCAGACCAGTCTCTCCTAAAATGAGGACAATCATTTATTATTGTTTTACACTACTTTTGTTAGTATTTTGTTCTGTTTTTGGATGAATTGTGCAATACAAATAAAATAAGTGAGGAGATGCGTTTAACTTGTATCCCTGAATCTTATATCTGACAGGGACTTTCTCACCTCTGTATATCTGAGTCGTGGATGGTTGGAGGGTCACGGTGGGCTCAGGAGGACCTGATCAAATAAAAATATATCATTATCATTAAAAATCTATCCTGGTTTTATTGCTCTTGTTAATTGTAATTATATTTTTGTGTCCTGGTAAAAATTTGACTACAAATCAACAATAAAAATTTTAGTTTTTACCAAACAGATTAAATGATATTTAGACTCTACCAGCAGAGTGACTGAACACAACCAGGTGTGCACAAATCTAAACTGTGACACTGAACATCAACGCATAAACACACAATATCATGTAAACAACCTCAGTTTTATAGTCAAATATCACACAATTTACTTATTTCCAGAGGTGGGAAGTAACGAAGTACAAATACTTTGTTACTGTACGTAAGCTATCTGTACTTTACTTGAGTATTTATGTTGACATTGTGTTTTTCATAGTGTGAAGCATGCTGCAAAACAAACTGAGGTAGAATCACTGTGTTATTTAAGGCTGCATGAAAATCCTCTACAGATTAGTGCAGGATAAACAGGTTAGTTTGCTGTACTGTGATGGATTTAAAGGAAAGACCAGTGTGTGACTGGTGCACAGTGACAGTCCAATATAAAGTCAGTATAAACAGTGTACTGTGAGTGTAGAGACGAGGACAACTCATGAAACGTCTGCTTACATCAGACTGAATTCAGGTGGATAAATCTGTAAAGAGCAGCAAGTCAGCTGATCACAGCTCATACATTAAGAAAATCTACTGGAGCTCTCAATAGAAAATAGCCTGAGCCATTAAAAACTGATTTTAGGGCTTTCCACACGCTGAATCCCACTTTAAACTCTTGTCCATTCTCTTCCGCTTATCCTTATCAGGGTCGCAGGAGGCTATAGACTATCCCAGCTATCATAGAGCGAGAGGCAGGGTACACCCTGGACAGGTCGCCAGTCTGTTGCAGGGCTAAGACAGAGACACAGACAAACATTCACACTCCCACATATTTAAAATAATCAATTCACTTAACCCCACTAAGTGCATGTCTTTAGACTGTGGGAGGAAGCCGGAGTATCTGGTATTTCCTTTCATTTTTATCCATGTAGCTTTGTACAAGGATTTGAGAACTCCAAGAGTTAATACAAAAGCGTACACTGAGGTAAGCAGCACACATGCCAATATCAGTGAGATACACTGCACTACTCACACAAATCATCATCTTCTTGTAAATCTGTACTGTAAACTGTTCAGATAAACATCCATGAAAAGAGAATTAGTCTGTATGAAGGCAGCACACTCTTAATATGATCATTTTAAACACTCTGTGTTCCTCCGACACTGCCTCGTTTAAGTTTTGGACAAAATGGATTCTGGGATATTACATTTCGTCATTTCGAGCTGATTGGAGACCAGAACAGCCAATCAGATTTTTTTTGCATCCAAGTCTGTGATTGGCTGGTTTTGTGGCACAAATATAACGGTGTACAGAAAGAGTTGAGCGCGCACGGGCAGAAATGTTGAGAGCGCGAGCAACACATTGCGAGCGAGCGCAAGTGCAAAAACTGAGCGAGAGGGGCTGCTGTTGTGTGTGTGTGGATAATAGCAAACACTGAGATACATTTTTTGCACGTAGCAATGAATTTTGTTCACTCAAATTTAGTTTTTCTTCACTCAAAATAAATTTCTCCTAAAAATGCAACACAAGTTTTTTTTACGTGCGCTCAATCTTTTTTTTTGATCGGTCAGAATAGTGGCACAAAGATAACGCCATATAAAACCGACTGACAGCTGATTCCATAAATATACAAGATGGTGATGAGGAAACACACGGAGAAGACAGCTGAGGGGAATAAACATAATGACACAATAAAGGAAGCAAAACTGAACACAGGATGGGACACTGTCAAAGTAAAACAGGAAAGACTGAGACCTACACCTGAGACACACAGACTTGACAACAACAGTGATAAACAAACAGGGAGGCAATAGCAGAGACACAAGGACAGGAACAGATTTACAGTATTTAACTGTTTTTCTACGTGATGAAGAAAAAGCTGCTGTGAGAAAGAGAGAAACCTGTCGGCACCACCCTTTGACTTAAATTGTAAGAAACAAATGTGTAAAAATAGAAAGAAACTTCTGGCAGCTCATCATTATTATATCTATACTATATTTCTATAGTAGATGCTGAAAAATAGAAACATTTCTGTTTACCTGCACTTTAATCATTTGCTGTTTTACCTGTTTGGTAGCTGTTGAAATGATTTGGCCTGTACCACTAAACTTGCTGTCTTCAGAACGTCTGCCCCCCTTCTTTCTTTCACATAATGGTATGATCCCAGCCTGTCTTTGCATGCGATTGGTGCGCCCATCAAAGCACGGATTCTTAGCAGGGCTGAAGATTCAGTTCCCACATACTGAGGGTACATTAATAACTGGCTCGCAGGCCGGAAATAATTGTATCGAGGGCCGAATGTGGCCCGTGGACCGTAGGTTTGACACCCCTGATTTCGAGCATTGTAGGAGATAACAGCTACATATATGAACTGGAGTAAAAACAGTGTTTCTTACCTTCAGCGTTTCCACAGATGACTGTACTGAGCACTAAAATAATGAATAAAAACTCATCAGATATTATACCTTTTAAAGACTTTATACTGATTATTGATTATTGTAAATTTAGGGATGAACAATAATCACCAAATTTCTCCTGTTTGCTAAACAAGCTCTAAGCAGTGACTCACTAATTCTCAGAGATCAGAAACATCTTAATTAATGGTGGCTTTCAAACAATGTCAGACGTGTACTTACAGAAAAAGCCCATCATGCAGAGCAAAGAGTGCCCCATCGTCACATCCAGCCTGCTGCACTCTGATCCTCAGATAATCACAAACAGTTTTACTTTGCAGAAAAAAAGAGAAGTTGTGTTTTGTTTGGGTGTGACAGAGTTTTTCTACAGGTTCTTCTTCTGATTGGTGTCTCTATGCTTCCTTCCCTTTTGGACACAAAGCTCAAACAGCTCCTGTAGCTTTGACCGCAGCAGTTTTGTGACATGTTTTCCATCGCTTTAAGTCATATCTTACCAGGTCTTTTTTTACTCTGACAGCGTCCCCTGGATCATTATCATGCTGCAATGTTACTTGCATCATGATAAAGTCTTTTTAATGATTTTTTTATATTTTGATTCTTTATCGGAGGAATTATGTGGAAATTCTTCTTTCATGCTGCATAAAAACATCTAGAGATTTTATCTGACTCTTATCTGAAACATCATCATGCAGTGCTATAATAAAAATGCTCCTTTGACCTCAGATCTGTGAATCTTTTCACCTTGTGGTTAAATTCTATGATTGGCTGACACCCAAACAGAGTAAATGACTCACTGTGTGGTTGAACTGAAACTAAAGACCTGTATGTTTCACAAATTAAATTAACAAAGACAACAAATAAATGTATCTTCTATTGGCACATCAAAGTGAATGTTACATGTTACCAACAAAGACTATGTAATTCTCTCCAGAGTCACATGCAGACGAGGTGACCTTTACTAAAGCTTACTGAAGCTGATCATTTCAGGCCTCAATAGTAACAAATGAAGAAAACTGAGTTACAGATAACTGATCACTGGAACACAGAGACTCTGGGTCATCACAAAAACATCCATATGGTCTCTATCAAGGTCACAAAAGTTTCAACTTACAACATAAATGAGAATAACATCCTGTATGATTCGACAGAAGTTCAGTCTGTTTAGCTATGTGTAGACTGATATGTCAGATGATATTATGGTGTACCTACAATACGAGTGAATAAACTCTTAAACATTATCAACACTTATTCATTATTTTCAGTTTTACTGTGGATTGTAATTATTTATTAAAAACTAAAAATCATTTGCAGAAGGTCAAAAACAGAGGAGAGATGTCAGGAGGTTTTTGTTGTGTATCTAATGGCATTTTAATAATTATTCCTTAAATCATTTATTTTTATATTTTTACTCATGTTGCCATAGTAACTCTAAACTTGAATGCATATTGAGTAAATACACAAAGCACTGAAACAAACCCCATGTTGCTTCATTGTGTTAAATATTTCAATTTGGCCATGACCAAACTTCCAGTTCCTCTTTACACATCCTGAGGTTTGATAGCAAGAATAAGACATTATCACAGCACAGAGCCAAAGTGTTTTCAGGAGACATTGAGATTCATTCTGTGGGCTGATGGAGAAAAACATGAGATCACTGAGGGTTTTTAAGTGCAGATAAGCCTGCAGCTGCGTGCAAACTTTCATTCATACTTCACAGAAATACTGACACAGGGTGAAGGGTTTTAGAACGGTGGGTTGATGCAGGTGTGTGTCTTTGTGCATTTATGTGCATGTGCCCAGAGCCCTGGGGCTCTGTCCTCAGCTCGTACTGGGATGGCCAACCTCTGACAGGATCAGCTGCCGGTTGGTTTTTAGGTGATCTTTCTTTTTGGCTCCTTGTTGCTTCTGCTGGTGTGGACACGTGTTTGTTTTTGGGTCTCCTGGATCTTTCTCTGTTTTCTCTGTTGTGTATCTGTGAAGGTTCTCAGTCATCCAGGTCATCGTAGTCAAAGGAGCTTGCAAAGAAAAGTGTCTGGACTTCTTTAAGTTGCTTGAAGACGTTTCACCTCTCATCCGAGAAGCTTCTTCAGTTCTAAGGTCAAATGGTGGGGAGTCCCACCATTTGACTCTCTGTTGTGGTTTTGCACCCTCATGATCACGTATGTTTTATCTCACACACACACACACACACACACACACACACACACACACACACACACATACATGAGGTCATTGATGTTTGTTTAAGTGCAGAGATGGTGCAGATAGACTTGCAGCTATTTGCAAACTTGCGGTTTCAAAAATGTTAACACAATATTTTCCATCAGCCACGTCTCTTTAAAAAGTGATCCTTCCTGTCATGGTCTGATCTAAAGGTCCGAGTTTAAAACACCAGTAAATACTTTGTGCAAATAATTGTGGTCTCAGTCACTGCAGTTTCAAATCTTACTGCATGTTAATTTAGTAAAACAGGCTCCTCATTAAAGTCAAAAAGGACAAGAAAGCACTTGATTAAAAAGCTCCTTCCTTATATATGCTGACGTAAAACAAGATATCAGCTACACAAAAGACTGCTGTCTGAAACATGCTGCATTTCCTCTTTCCTGCATGGCACAGATAAAAATGAGGCCTTTCAATAGATTAAAAATAAAATGTGGCAGAATATAGAGTATCCTTAATTTCATTGTACATGTACGATGAGAATAAAGGGCTATTCTATTGGTAGTGTGAAGAGGGAAGGAATGAGGATTTGAACCAAAATGCAGACTCTTAGAAAAGGTTAACTTAAACCCAGCTGTATTGCTGGAATACAAAAAAAAATGCAAAACTACAAAAAAATTATTTGAAACTAAACGGCAGGCAGAACACACAGCTGTACGATGAGGGAGACCGCGATGCAGGACAGAGAGAGATGCAGGCATAAATACACACAAGAACAAACAAGGGAACAAACCACAGGAGGGAATCGTAGCTAAGAGGAGCTAAGGAAGCACAGCTGGACACAATTTAAACTGAACATGATGCACAAAGCACAAGTGACTATCAAAGTAAAACAGGAAGTGTGCACAACGCACATTGAGACACAGGCTGTGTCCAAATTCAGGGGTAGCATTCGTCGATGGCTGCATTTGTAGGCAATTACGTCACAGCGACGCGACGAAGGCTGTCCAAATTTGAAGAGTCCTCCAAATGCGGCGGCAAATGCGTCCTTCATTTCCCCAGATTTGAAGGATGTGTTGGCTGTATCGTTCGTGGCCCACCATATCCCAGGATTCATTTTGGATTTCAGGATTTCAGTTTGACATGTTTTAGGGAACAAAGACCAAATGGCTTAATTTCTTAAAATGAGAGGAGAAAACGATCACCTCTTCACTGGGGTGAAGAATTCGGCCACTGTGGCATGGAGGTACAAGAATAAATCAATTTGCACATCATATTCATATGAGTATGGTTTTATTAACCCTCATACTGTACAGAACCGGTGATGTCCAGACGGTATTCCTCTTGTGTTCTGCTGTGAAAACTTTAGGGATTAACATACTTGCCATGTTTTTCTCTCTTCTCTTATTTTTTGTGTGTGATCAGGACAATTCTGGAGAAGATGGGCCTGCATGGGAAAGTCACCCGCATGCAGGCTAGAAGAAATGGGATAACTGAAGGGTGGCTGGCCTCTCCCTTAGAGATAGGGTGAGAAGTTCATCCATTTGGGAGGGGCTCTGAGTAGAGCCGCTGCTGCTCCACATCGAAAGGAGCCAGTTGAGGTGGTTCGGGCATCTGACAAGGATGCCTCCTGGGCGAGGTGTTCCAGGCATGTCCCACTGGGAGGAGGCGCTGGGGCAGACCCAGGACACGCTGGAGAGATTATATCTCTCGGCTGGCCTGGGAACGCCTTGGTGTTCCCCCGGATAAGCTGGAGGAGGTGGCTGGGGAGAGGGAGGTCTGGGCTTCTCTGCTTGGGCTGCTGCCCCCGCAACCCGGCCCCGGATAAGCAGAAAAACATGGATGGATGGATGGATGGATGGACAAACAATAACAATAAAACAAGAATATTTATAATACATCAACAAAAATAAAGCCTAGGATCCTCCTGGTTTAAAATACGGTCCACGACTGGTACACTCAGGTTAATCCTGCAGTACAAGGGTCTGCTCTGGTTAAGGAAAAGGTGGAGAACAACAAACAGTTTTAGTAGAAAGGTATGATTTTATTTATTTTATGACATCAAAGCATTATTGTGATTATCAAGCTTAAGTCAAATATGCTAAGGCTGTGAAAAGACTTAAAATTTATACACTTCATTTGTGTAACTAACTGTTAGGTTTTATGTTTGCACAAACGGCAATTATACTGCAGCTAGCAAAAGCATGAAGCACCAGGCAGAACTCTTTGTGTGATCTTGTGCACGAGGGAGATGACCGAGACGAGTGCTGTTCCTGGAGCCCCAGTCCCTCTCAGTCAGCTCCCCCGTAGCACTGCTCTTTATTGTGGTTACATGAATATGCATAGATTCATTAACATATGACATCTCACACAGGCATGCATGTGCACGAGTAATACCATCTGTGTACGTGTAAGTATGCGCGTGTGTGTGTGTGTGTGTGTGTGTGTGTGTGCGTGCATGGGGGGGGTTGTGTGTATGTGTGTGTATGTGGGTCAAAATATGACCCAAAGCTGGTGCTAGGAGCCCAGCTGATCACCTAAATAAAAGGCACTTATACTTATATAAGTATATATATAAGTATAGTAAGTAAGTATATACTTATACTAAACAGATGCAGAGTAGGTGTCCTCCTATAATATAAATCGGAAAGAGAAGGTACGACCTCTCTCATGACCTTAGGATGTGTGTGTATGCCAGAGCACTGTGGAACGCACACAGAGCCTTTGCAGACTACTAAGGATGAGACAATCTATCAATATGTAATCGATTATATACCTCTAAGCATATGTGATTATATGTTTCCAAGCATAAATGACAATCCAACAATATAACTCTGACACTAAGCTTTTTTGTGAACTCAGAAATAATCATGTTTTCAGCTTTGTTGCATTTTTACAGCCCATCTATGCACATAAATAAGTTACAGGATCAAATGAATAACAGAAAATAAATGGAAATAGAAAATGTTCTTCTATAAGTTTCAAAGAGATTTAGTTTACATATTCTATATAATACAGTGAATGTGTATGAATGACCGGCAATCATTCAGTCACTGGAATTATGAAAAATGCTAAGTAATTCCTAAATGCATGTAGATTAAAGACAATTATTTTACCTGGATATCACTGTCTCTGACGAGCCTAAGGTACAAAACATGCCAGCGACGACGATAAAGTTTTTAAGCTCCTAGAGAATTAAAAAAGTACAAAAAACTGAGCGACATTTCTGAGTCCTTTTCAAAGTTTTCGTGCTGCAGTGCTAGCGACCGGAAAAATGCAGAATTAAGTGTGGACTTGAACGAAGGCTAGAAGACTGTCCAGTTTCACAGCCGTTTGCTTCCAGCCTACCGGCCTTTCTGCTGGGGTGGACACGTGATTGTTTGGTCTCCTGGATCAAACTGCTGGGGTGCATTGTTGCTGTTTCTCACTCTCATGATCAAGTATGTTTCGTGACACACACACACACACACCCACACACACACACACACACACACAAACTAGGTAAGAAAACTAAGACGACCTAAAAACATAAACAGAGGGATAACAACTAGACAGGGCAGAATCATGACCTCTGAATATTAAATAACCCAAAACCATAAAGTCCAAACACAAAACGCTGGGTGCAAACCCAGGATCACGACTATATTTATATACCAACAACAGCCTTTGACACACATGTAGGCAATGTGGCTGCTTAGAAGAACAAAGATGATATTCTGTAATGCCATGTTTGTAGTTTGATCTCATATTATCACTGCATGATCTTACTTGTTGAATAAAAATATCACTGTACAATTTTGTAGACTTAAATTAAGTAAAAACAATTTTTTAGGGTTTAAAAAGTTTTAATTTATCAAAACATAAACAATATTTTCCTTTTGCATAGTCTTCAGTGAGACGGCTTCAGAGTGTAAACAGGTCAAAAACAAGCTTTGGTGCTCAGCAGCTCTAAAAGTGTTTAAGTTGTTGACTTTGACTGTTCTCTCTGTATTCTGACACATGATGGCAGAGCCGCATAAAAAAGTGCTGCTAAGTAAAAAAAGCAGTAAGAGAGTCACAGACACAGAAAAAGCTCTTCAAAATTCACCAGTGACTCAGTTCATTTCAAAACACTTTATTAAACTGAATTATTGCAGAGACAAAACAAGACAAACAATCAGCGTAATAACAAAAAGCTGTGAAGGGCTTTTTTTCTAACTCTGTCTGTTTCACATTTTCGTTGCCTAATTGTAACCTCCACTCTTACCAGTACCAGTTTATACAGAGATCAAATTAGTACTGAGCAAGATTAGGTTCAGTTTATTGATGCGGCCCTCCACAACAGGCCCAGTTTCTCATGTGGCCCCTCAGGAAAATGAATTGCCCACCCTGCTTCAGAGGGTCTCTGTGCCACAGCAGACTCCTGACCCAGAATCACACTTACGGGAAGTCATCGTCTTCAAAAGCAACCGAATGATCTGTGAGGTCAAGCTGCTCAGTTATTATTCATTTCTGGCTCTTTTCCACAGTGTTACCCCAGCAGGTGGCAGATGACCGCCCCTCTCTGAGCCTGGTTCTGTCAAAAGTTTCTTCCTGTTAAAAAATAGTTTTTCATTCTCACTGTCACCAACTGCTCACTCATAGCCGTCTGATTTGGAGTGTTTCTCTGTATTGTTGTACAGTCCTTACAATATAAAACCCCTGGAGGCGACTGTGGTTATGATTTTGCACCTTATAATAAAAATTGTCAACTTTTATTTATATAGAACCAAATTACAGCAACAGACAGTTAAACTGAATTGAACTGAATTACTTGACAGTTGTGTGCGCTGTCTGAGGACAGTCACTGTGTTTGTAAGTAGCCATGTTCATTTTGTCACATGTTCTTTCTACTTTCTCCTCTTTGGATTTTAAACAATTTGTTGAGCACTAATGTGCACATGAAGCCCATTAGTGCTTTGAGTGCTCCAAGCGGGTAAAAAAGCGCCTCCGTCCAGTGAAAGAGCGCCGCCTGCTGCCGCTCAAAGAGGTCAGAGTCCGCTGGGTCCACAACGCAGGGTCGTGTCATTCTGTCAGGGGTGTCGAGTGTGGATGCGAGGAAAGGAGGACCCAAACGCTGGACTCACAGGGAGGTGAAGGCTGGTGTTTATTATGACGAGCAGATGAGCTGAACATAAGATGACTGGCTGAACTGAAATGACTGTCTTAACTGAACACACGTGCAGAGTGGACAACATGAACATCAATGACAGACCAGGATGAAACTGAGGACTTAAGTACACTGGCTAATGATGATGATTAGGGACCGGTGAGAACACAGCTGAACATAATGAAACAGGAAGTAGAGCTAATGACACTGAGACAGAGGGCTGGCACGGTGAAGCGGGAAACATGAATGTGGAACATAAACTGAACATGAACTGAAAACACCAGGTGAACCACCCAGGAACCCTGACACAGTCTTGACTTTAGACAACTGAGCAGAAGATGATTGAATCTGAACAGAAGAGGAGAAAATCAGATGTCTGAGACAAAGTCTGAGCAGAAAACTGAGAATAAATTATTCTGAAAGACAGTTTGGAAACTCAACAGAAGAGAAATATTTTATTTAACTGCAATGCAGCCTGTGAACTGAGATGAACTTCGATTCAAAGCAACTGAGCAGCAACTTGGCAACTGAACAAGAGCAAATTAATGTCTATATGAAACTGACAGACAGTTTGGCAACAGAACAGAAAACAAGTGATTCTCAACAACTGAGCAACAATTTGGCAAATCAACAAAACAGAAATGACTGTAAATTTTTAATCTGAGCAGAAGAAAAGCTGCTCTGGAAACATGAGCAATAGTTTGACAGGTGAACAGAAAGAGCTTGAAACTCAGCAAACACGAGGCAGTTTGACACCAGAACAAAAGAGAAATGTCTCCCAAGAACAGCAACAACTTCAAGTCTGTGAATGTAAAGTGAGTGTAATCTCTAAGACTTGAAACTGCAGATTAGAATATTTTGATGAACATGAAACCATCAGAAATGTTTACATGAACCAAATCAGTAAAAGTGGAAGATGGAGGATGGCAAACATGCAAAAGAAAAATCAATACTGAGCAGAAGTGTTGTTGTGTGAAAATGTCACATCAGGTGTTCAGCATTAAAGGGGACATGAAACACTACATGTATAAAGGTTAATTTACATCATGGAGCCCAGCTCTCAAAAACTGACACAGATGTAACTCTGACTGTGAAGCTGGATTTAAGAAATAACTGCTTAAAGCTATAAAAACACATGTATCACCATATTCTGTCAGTACAGAGCATGACTCCACCAGGTCAGTTGGCTACTTTCAGTCAAAAGACTCACATTAGGTTGTGTTAGGTAACTAATAACAGAACCAATAACTCGAGCAAAATAAGGACAGTAAAACATCAGTTTAATGGGGTCACTGGCTGCACCTCGTGCCTGTCCCATCTGTGGCTTCCTGTTGGAGAACAATAAAGTTTATTATAAAAACATCGTCTGCCCTCGATGTAAAGTGAAGTTCTGTTCTGTGTGTTTGAGTCTTTACAGAGAGTGTAACGTTAACTGTACCTTATTGACTGTTTAGGAAGTGCGACCCTCAGACGCACCTCTGTACCTGTGTGGAGGAGGAAATCATCCTCATTTACTTTCATTGATTTAAACATGTGGTCTCTGATATACACATGGTATCATTTGTTGTGTGTTCTGTATTGTAAAGATTTTTTTTGTGCAAAAATGTGAAAATGAAATGAAATGAAATGAAATGAAATGTGTTTTCTTCTTCTCAGAGCAGGTGATACAGAGCTGAGTGTGGAGCTGGAGAAAAAGCTTTATGTGTAAAACTGGTTACAAAGTAGCTGTTAGTCAGCCAGCAGGTGATAAAAGCATCCAGGAAGCTCAGACTTTGTATCCAGTGTCTCTGTACATTATGTGTTTCTGTGAGGTGGAGAGCTAACAAAACAAACACTGCATGGGACTGTTGTGACTGTACCTGCATCCCATCTTCATTGTAGTAAACAGCACTCTCCTCTGGTGTGTCGTGTTGCCCTGTGAGGTGATCAAATTCATCCACAAATGAAAAAAATACGTTTTTAAAGGATGTTTGTTTTATTTTTAAACTGCACGTGTTTTATGTACTCACTCTTTCTTCTAAGATCTTTAAACTCAATAAGAGAAGAGGCGACGTTTTCATATTCATCTGCTCCTGAAATGTTCATAATTTTATTTACAGGATTGTAAAAACATGGAATTAGTTTCATTAAATCAAAAACAAGTTTCATCTCTAACTGCTCTGTGCTTTTCAGCACATATACTGACCATTTCTGTTTGTCACTTGTGTGACTGATTCATAGACGTCAGCAGTACCTAAAGGAAAAAACAAGCCAGGCTCACATTAATCATTTTATCACAGTTACACTAAAGATCAGAGTAAAAACAGAAACACTGTGTGAGTCAAAACCAGGACTGTAAGATCTTTAAATGTTCTTTAAAAAACTGCTGAACACAAACTGAACCTGACAAATGTTTGTGTTAATGGAGGCTTAATAAAAGTCAATATTAATAATGATAATAAAGACTGTTTTTCAATGCTGACCATGTTGAAGAGAGTCGTACACATGAGTTTCATTCAGGTTGATTCCATGATTTGTGGAGGAGCCCGGACTGTGACTCTCAGACTGGATCGACCTAAAACATGAAATAAACACAATAAACTCAAAAGTAACTGATGTTTGTTTAAAATAATAATAAAAAGTATTTTACCAACCTGGTGAAGCAGGAATCTGTGAAAGAGACAAATGTTATTACACATGTTTGTCATGTATGAATTGTTCCACTGATATTTTGTGTCATGAGATCAGAATACATGTATATGTGTGAATAATTAAAGTGTATGTAGTAAATAAACTCTCTAACACAGCATGAAAAGAAGAGGCTCTTACACTTGGACTGTCTGCAGCGATACAACAAGAGCAGGAGAATAATAATGAGAGAGACTCCACAAACCAGTCCAACCATCAACCACACAGGAGGTGAAGAGCTGTCAGCTCCTGACACAGTTACTGTAACAAACAATAAGTAATAATAAAGTATAATACTTATTATTATACTGCATATTTCAGTTCTCACAAAATAGATCCAGGTGACTTCAAGCATTAAACAGACAATCTAATGTTTCTTCTCAAGCATGAAAATCATTTTTACAAAAACACATCAAATGTTTTGATCCTGCTCACCTTTAACTGACATCCAGCTCTGTGCTGACTCTCTTCCTGAGTACTGACACTTGTAGAAACCTTCATCAGACTTTGACACTGCAGAGATCTTCAGCTCTACTCGGGTATCATTTTGAATAAGTTTGTCATTGTGATAGAAAAACACATTGGAAAGTATTTTTTGTGTTTTCAAACTGCAGCTCAGACTAACAGAAGCTCCCTCAGTCACAGGATGAACAGGACTCACCAGGATAGAAACATTACCATCATCTGTGAAACAATCAAACACAATTGTTTCAGTCACATCAGCTGGTGCACACTTTTAGGAAACGCTGACATGTAAGCTTCAGGGAGATTTTCACAGAAGCGACTCTGTGAAACAGATGATCGACTTGAATCCAGGTAAGAAAGAAATGCATGTAGTAAATGAAGTAGAATGGCTGATCCTTTTATTTTGCAAGCTCATAATGTGATCTAACAGAGACTCACTTAGTAACTGATCTAAGGGTTGTGAATAGAATGAAATAAAAATAACTGCATTAAAAAACTTAAATACCAAGAAGGCCTGTGGGCCTGATGCTGTTTAAACATTTGCTGATGAGCTGACTCCAGCTTGGAGTCCTGTTGATATCAGCTTCATCCTCACTATATAGAAAAAGGCTGCAATCAGCAAAATAATGATCACAGACCTGCAGCAGTAACATCAGTAGTAATGAAATCCTTTGAATGCATTATGGTTGAGCACTGAATGGAAAGTACAATTTGAATATAATTACTTTAACTCACTTGATTTTAAAGCATTTAGAAAACCCCTCAGCTTATGCACGATTGTTATTTATGATCTAAGATCAGTGTTTAACACCACAAACACTTATACACTGTTAAATAACATGAAAGTGGATCCCTATATAATCAGATGGTTGTTTGGCTATTTTCATTAAAAAAGGAAGTGAAAGTCAGTTCTGCTCGTTCACACATACAATTTATAAGAACAAGAGTCTCACAGGGCTGTGTGAGATCTCCTGTTCTTTTCATATTTTATTTTAAAAATTGTGGAAATCAGAAGGGATTGTGCAGTGGTATAAGAAACACACCTTCGTGTTAAATATAAAGAAAAATAATCGTCATATTTATAACGATCTTTGATGAAAGATCTATTGGAGATCTCAGCCTGGTTTCAATGACTGGAGAGAAGTTTGAACAAGTGACAACATTTCAGTGTTTAGTCTTCCCTGCAGGAGTCAAATTATTATCAGTACAATTGCTGAATCATTATGGGTGAAATTGTGGGTGAGTGTTTGCATTTTTGTTTGTTTTTTGCATGATGTGTTTCCCTAAGTTACTCTGAATGGAGACAATAAAAGTTTATCTAATGTGATGACAGAGATGTTGAGCTTTTTAGAGTTTCATTCTGATGGAGAAAATATAAAATACTCATTTAATTAGAGAACAAAAACCAAGAATATTGTTTGAAGCTTTGGAGCCTAAAATCATCTGAAATTCTCATTTTTGTTTGTGTTGCCACATAGAATTACTTCACATAGAGCAAAGCTGGGACAAATGTTCATGTGACGTCTAAATCATTCAGATCCAAGAAGTAAATGTATAATAACATACTCTGTACAGTGATGTTGACTGCACTGCTGAACTCTCCCGATCCAGACTCACACCAGTACACTCCAGTATCTGACTTTGATGCTTTGATGTTACATGTGGATCCAGTCATTCTCCTACAGTCAGAGAGTCGGCCGTCCTCAGAGAACTTCCTCACTCTCCACTCAGTGAAGTTTCCCTCACAGGTCAGTGAGACAGAGTCAGAGGTGAAGTGTTGCACTCTGTCAGGACTCACTGTGAGAGACGCTGCTGAATGAACATCTGGAAACAACATGCAGTGAAGAGACAAAGCTCACAGATGTTAGGACTGCTATCACCCCATTTTACTTTAGAATGGCACACCAGTAAACCAGGATTCTCATGATTTTTGATCCCCTCTTTGACTCAGACTAACAGAAGCGTTTTTGTGGTCTTCTTATGCAGCTGGTTCAGTGAATCTTGGTTGGCGCGTGGTGAAACTAAGTGTGCAGCAAAAAGCTGCAGAAGCTAATTAGCCTTTGATTATATCATTACATGGAGTCTGGAGAATTTTTGGATCAGTTTTGTTTGTTTTGCATTTATGTAACTGCTCTTTGAATCATCACTTATTTTTGCTGTGTTCGGTGGTTGTAGAAATGGATTATTTGAGCATTTAGATTAGATTTTCTGTGGATATTACACATGGTGATATTTGCATAAAAGGCGTGACATCATGGGTCACATAACTTTTAAGCTGGGGCGTTGGAGCTTAATCTGTCAGCAGAATTCTTTCTACAAGTTTCCAAATCATACTGGCTCAGGTTAAAGGCAAATCATTCACGGGACTTTAGCTTTAACCCTGATCAGCACTAATAGAACAGACAACACTGAGTCTGACAACAAGCCCTGAATCACACAGACAGTCAAATCAGTGGAAAACAAAGGAGCCGAATACTGACATGTTTAAGATGATCTAACCCACATGCTTTATCTGCTGGCAGCTCATGTAGAGCTTGGTACAGGTCATGTGACATCATGAGCTTTGAGTCATCACTCTCAGCATCATCCACCTGATACAGATCACTCTGAACACACTTCAGTCATTTGCTGTAATGTTTCTGTCATAATTCTGTGATATTGTCTGTTTCACAGATTCCTTCTACAGTGAGATATTTTGCAGCAGCAGGAACAAAACTAAAAACCTTTGAAGTATATTTTAAATGAACAATAACAGCAGCTGTTATTTGTGACGTCTTCTTCTAGCGTCCATCTGTAGTCAGTGTTTCTCTTGTATTTGTCAGAGCTGTTAACCTGCCTGCTGACATCTTTGTTTCTTTATTAACTATATTTGACTTTTTTATCTGAACACCTACCTGAGCACCAAACAAAGAGTCTTAACTGTGTAAATCCTGTCTGTGCACTAAGTAAAAATAATCAGTACAAACAGAAACATGAGTTTAAATATCAAAACATTTAAAATCTCATAGATGTCTTTTGTTTTTCATGTTATCACATTAAATAAAAACTGAAAAATAAGAAAAGGAAACAAGGAAATTCAGTTTGGTTTGATCACAGAGAGAACGGAAAACATTCAGTTCATTTGTTCTTTTGGGAAGTTTTAATATAAACGGAGATAAATGGTTGTCATGGAGATGAGATTTTAATGGTCTAAATCCTGGTGAATAAAAATGATGACCTAACATGAGCTCATTGAAAGGACAGAGAGAAACAAACTGACCTGCAGACCAGACAAACTTTGGTTGACTGTGATCAGTGTGATACTCTGGGTCTCCTCTTCCAGCTCTGCACACATATCCTGCTGTGTGTGTCTGTCCATGAATGATGTAGGAGTCCTGTGCAGTCCCACTGCCATCAGGTAGCAGCTCATAACTGGAGGATTTCTCTGATAGATCAGGAACAGCTTTATACCAGTAGAAGCTCCATCCTGCAGACCGATGTTTAACCTCACAGTTCAGAGTTACTGAGGCTCCAGGACTCAGCCATGATGGAGACACAGTGAGGACAGGACGGGGTTCATCTGTTCAACAAAGATTTTCTCTCAGTGAACATGTAGTACAGTCTCTGAACAGTGAGCTCAGTTTATACAAAGAATAATAATCTCAGTCTATGAACAGAAACACATTTTACAAAGTGTTCAAACAGCTTAAAGCAAACATGACTTACTGTCAGAAACTGTCAGTGTGACTGAATCACTCCACTCTGTTGTTTCATGCTGTGAACTTTTCATTCTGCCCTTACAGCGATAGTTTCCACTGTACAATGATGAAGCAGATCTAATCCTGTATTCATTTTGATTTGGAGGTTTTCTGATGCTGTTTGTTTCCCACTCATAATCCCACTCAGTGTCTCCTCCATGGATCTCACATCTGACAGTGATCGTCTCTCCTCCGTATATCTCAGACCAGTTTGGATACAGAGTCACAACAGACCTGTTTGAGACTGTTAATGTTCAAGAAAGTACAATAAAAACACATGAAAGACAAAAGGTTCAGTTACCATCAGATGTAGTGCTTTGTAGGAAGTTACATTTAAACTCACCAGTTGTGTCAATCCTGACTGACTGACTCAACTCTGTGTAGTAAACTTGTTCTCCTCTTCCTCCTCTGCAGCTGTAGCGTCCTCCCTCTGAGACACTGATTTGTTCATTTGTCACAGGTTGATAAGATTTGCCATCTCTGTACCAGTAGTATTTCCATCCATATGATGATGATGGGTTCACAGAGCAGGTCAGGGTCACACTGCCCCCTACTGGAACAGCTGTCCTATCAGCTCTCAGTTCAGCCTTTGGTTTGGTAAAAATGACTGAATCAGAACAATTTAAAGATGGAAATATGTAAATGATCAAATATCACCAAACCATAGTTGAGATAAAACAAACTGTGCCACACAAAATATTCTGTATTTCTGTTTTGATCAAAACAGTTAATTTGTTTTATTTACTTTTGTGTATTTTAATTTATTACGTACATGCACATTTCGAATAATTAATTTGAAGAATGACTGAGTTTATTGATCAATAATGAGGAAGTAACCCAGGTCAATATGATCTGATTGTATTTTGAACATGTGAGAATTGCTCCTAAATGAGTGTGAGCAGTTATCGTTTCATTGGTGTTGTTCTTTACTTTTGTTTTTGGTGTATTGGGATTTGGTGAGTCACAGTTAGTTTTCTTTGGTGTCAGTTAGCACGTTATGTCCTTGTGTTCTTTACTAAATCTGATGTTGAAGCCTCTGATAGCTAAGATGAGACCTAGTAAGGTTGTTTTATATTCTTTTGCTGTGGAAGCTGACATTTCCTGTCGCACAGATGTCTTTAGACCACACTAATACGCACAGTCAACTCTACCGCTGACATTACAGGGAGCAGTTTGGATGTGATTTCCAGCTGAGCTGTTAGGAATGCTGGAATAAGACTTCAGTGTTTGTGTTGCAAAACAGATCAGGTTTATTAGCCGAGTGCAGATCTCAGAACTGAAATCTGAGACTGTTGAATCTTGACGGTGATCCACGCCTAGGAGATCTGAACTTCCACTGAAATCATCTGTTCCTGCTGGATCAACTCATATTCCAGAGATCAGGAAACTGACTCACACTTCTGAACTGTGATACCACTCCACCGAGCAGTTTGGGAAAGGCTAACATAGCAGACCAGTCTCTCCTAAAATGAGGACAATCATTTATTATTGTTTTACACTACTTTTGTTAGTATTTTGTTCTGTTTTTGGATGAATTGTGCAATACAAATAAAATAAGTGAGGAGATGCGTTTAACTTGTATCCCTGAATCTCATATCTGACAGTGACTTTCTCACCTCTGTACATCTGAGTCGTGGATGGTTGGAGGGTCACAGTGGGCTCAGGAGGAGCTGTTCAAATAAAAATATATCATTACAAAACGATCCTGGTTTTATTGCTCTTGTTAATTTTAATTATATTTATGTCCTGGTAAAAATTTGACTACAAATCAACAATAAAAAGTTAGTTTTTACCAAACAGATTAAATGATATTTAGACTCTACCAGCAGAGTGACTGAACACAACCAGGTGTGCACAAATCTAAACTGTGACACTGAACATCAACGCATAAACACACAATATCATATAAACAACCTCAATTTTATAGCCAAATATCACACAATTTACTTATTTCCAGAGGTGGGAAGTAACGAAGTACAAATACTTTGTTACTGTACGTAAGCTATCTGTACTTTACTTGAGTATTTATGTTGACATTGTGTTTTTCATAGTGTGAAGCATGCTGCAAAACAAACTGAGGTAGAATCACTGTGTTTTTTAAGGCTGCATGAAAATCCTCTACAGATTAGTGCAGGATAAACAGGTTAGTTTGCTGTACTGTGATGGATTTAAAGGAAAGACCAGTGTGTGACTGGTGCACAGTGACAGTCCAATATAAAGTCAGTATAAACAGTGTACTGTGAGTGTAGAGACGAGGACAACTCATGAAACGTCTGCTTACATCAGACTGAATTCAGGTGGATAAATCTGTAAAGAGCAGCAAGACAGCTGATCACAGCTCATACATTAAGAAAATCTACTGGAGCTCTCAATAGAAAATAGCCTGAGCCATTAAAAACTGATTTTAGGGTTTTCCACACGCTGAATCCCACTTTAAACTCTTGTCCATTCTCTTCCGCTTATCGTTATCAGGGTCGCAGGAGGCTATAGACTATCCCAGCTATCATAGAGCGAGAGGCAGGGTACACCCTGGACAGGTCGCCAGACAGAGACAGAGACAAACATTCGCACTTCCACATATTTAAAATAATCAATTCACTTAACCCCACTAAGTGCATGTCTTTAGACTGTGGGAGGAAGCCGGAGTATCTGGTATTTCCTTTCATTTTTATCCATGTAGCTTTGTACAAGGATTTTGAGAACTCCAAGAGTTAATACAAAAGCGTACACTGAGGTAAGCAGCACACATGCCAATATCAGTGAGATACACTGCACTACTCACACAAATCATCATCTTCTTGTAAATCTGTACTGTAAACTGTTCAGATAAACATCCATGAAAAGAGAATTAGTCTGTATGAAGGCAGCACACTCTTAATATGATCATTTTAAACACTCTGTGTTCCTCCGACACTGCCTCATTTAAGTTTTGGACGAAATGGATTCTGGGATATTGCATTTCGTCATTTCGAGCTGATTGGAGACCAGAACAGCCAATCAGATTTTTTTTGCATCCAAGTCTGTGATTGGCTGGTTTTGTGGCACAACTATAACGGTGTACAGAAAGAGTTGAGCGCGCACGGGCAGAAATGTTGAGAGCGCGAGCAACACATTATGAGCGAGCGCAAGTGCAAAAACTGAGCGAGAGGGGCTGCTGTTGTGTGTGTGTGGATAATAGCAAACACAGATACATTTTTTGCAAAGCAGCAATGAATTTTCTTCACTCAAAATAAATTTCTCCTCAAAATGGAACACAATTTTTTTTACGTGCGCTCAATTTTTTTTTTTACGTGCGGTCAGAATAGTGGCACAAAGATAACGCCATATAAAACCGACTGACGACTGACTCCATAAATATACAAGATGGTGATGAGGAAACACACGGAGAAGACAGCTGCGGAAATAAACATAATGACACAATACAGGAAGCAAAACTGAACACAGGATGGGACACTGTCAAAGTAAAACAGGAAACACTGAGACCTACACCTGAGACACACGGACTTGACAACAACAGTGATAAACAAACAGGGAGGCAATAGCAGAGACACAAGGACAGGAACAGGTGAAGAGAGGATGAAGATGAAGATGAAACACAGTAAAACGACTAAGACACAAGGGGGTGAGGGAGAGGGCGAGAGAGAGAGAGAGAGGGCAGAGAGATACAAACATCGAATAAGGCACATGGAGACAAACATGGGTGACAAAACAGACTCACCACAGAGAGGAGACATGGAATGAAACACGGGAACAGAAAAGGGAGCCAATGAGCCACCACCCTGACACCATCAGTATAAGAAATGATTTACAGTATTTAACTGTTTTTCTACATGATGAAGAAAAAGCTGCTGTGAGAAAGAGAGAAACCTGTCGGCACCACCCTTTGACTTAAATTGTAAGAAACAAATGTGTAAAAATAGAAACATTTCTGTTTACCTGCACTTTAATCATTTGCTGTTTTACCTGTTTGGTAGTTGTTGAAATGGTTTGGCCTGTACCACTACACTTGCTGTCTTCAGAACGTCTGCCCCCCTTCTTTCTTTCACATAATGGTATGATCCCAGCCTGTCTTTGCATGCGATTGGCCACATGGTGCGCCCATCGAAGCACGGATTCTTAGCAGGGCTGAAGATTCAGTTCCCACATACCGAGGGTACATTAATAACTGGCTCGCAGGCCGGAAATAATTGTATCGAGGGCCGAATGTGGCCCGTGGACCGTAGGTTTGACACCCCTGATTTCGAGCATTGTAGGAGATAACAGCTACATATATGAACTGGAGTAAAAACAGTGTTCCTTACCTTCAGCGTTTCCACAGATGACTGTACTGAGCACTAAAATAATGAATAAAAACTCATCAGATATTATACCTTTTAAAGACTTTATACTGATTATTGATTATTGTAAATTTAGGGATGAACAATAATCACCAAATTTCTCCTGTTTGCTAAACAAGCTCTAAGCAGTGACTCACTAATTCTCAGAGATCAGAAACATTTTAATTAATGGTGCCTTTCAAACAATGTCAGACGTGTACTTACAGAAAAATCCCATCATGCAGAGCAAAGAGTGCCCCATCGTCACATCCAGCCTGCTGCACTCTGATCCTCAGATAATCAAACAGTTTTAGTTTGCAGAAAAAAAGAGAAGTTGTGTTTTGTTTGGGTGTGACAGAGTTTTTCTACAGGTTCTTCTTCTGATTGGTCTCTCTGTGCTTCCTTCCCTTTTACACCAAACTCAAACAGCTCCTGTAGCTTTGACCGCAGCAGTTTTGTGACGTTTTCCATCGCTTTAAGTCATATCTTACCAGGTCTTTTTTTACTCTGACAGCGTCCCCTGGATCATTATCATTCTGCAATGTTACTCTTCCTGCACACTGGAAGTGAATGTACCAAAACCCCTTTTCTGTTTTACAGCCTGTATTTTTATATCTAAGTCTTTTTAATGATTTTTTTACATTTTGATTCTTTATCGGAGGAATTATGTGGAAATTCTTCTTTCATGCTGCATAAAAACAGAAAACAGATTTTATCTGACTCTTAGCTGAAACATCATCATGCAGTGCTATAATAAAAATGACCTTTGACCTCAGATCTGTGAATCTTTTCACCTTGTGGTTAAATTCTATGTTTGGCTGACACCCAAACAGAGTAAATGACTCACTGTGTGGTTGAACTGAAACTAAAGACCTGTATGTTTCACAAATTAAATTAACAAAGACAACAAATAAATGGATCTTCTATTGGCACATCAAAGTGAATGTTACATGTTACCAACAAAGACTATGTAACTCTCTCCAGAGTCACATGCAGACGAGGTGACCTTTACTAAAGCTTACTGAAGCTGATCATTTCAGGCCTCAATAGTAACAAATGAAGAAAACTGAGTTACAGATAACTGATCACTGGAACACAGAGACTCTGGGTCATCACAAAAACATCCATATGGTCTCTATCAACAAAAGTTCACAAAAGTTTCAACTTACAACATAAATGAGAATAACATCCTGTATGATTCAACAGAAGTTCAGTCAAACTGTTTAGCTATGTGTCAGAAGACATATCACTCTGGTGTCCATACGAGTGAACATTATCAACACTTATTCATTATTTTCAGTTTTACTGTGGATTGTAATTATTTATTAAAAACTAAAAATCATTTGCAGAAGGTCAAAAACAGAGGAGAGATGTCAGGATGTTTTTGTTGTGTATCTAAAGGCATTTTAGTAATTATTCCTTAAATCATTTATTTTTATATTTTTACTCATGTTGCCATAGTAACTCTAAACTTGAATGCATATTGAGTAAATACACAAAGCACTGAAACAAACCCCATGTTGCTTCATTGTGTTAAATATTTCAATTTGGCCATGACCAAACTTCCAGTTCCTCTTTACACATCCTGAGGTTTGATAGCAAGAATAAGACATTATCACAGCACAGAGCCAAAGTGTTTTCAGGAGACATTGAGATTCATTCTGTGGGCTGATGGAGAAAAACATGAGATCACTGAGGGTTTTTAAGTGCAGATAAGCCTGCAGCTGCGTGCAAACTTTCATTCATACTTCACAGAAATACTGACACAGGGTGAAGGGTTTTAGAACGGTGGGTTGATGCAGGTGTGTGTCTTTGTGCATTTATGTGCATGTGCCCAGAGCCCTGGGGCTCTGTCCTCAGCTCGTACTGGGATGGCCAACCTCTGACAGGTTCGGCTTCCGGTTGGTTTTTAGGTGATCTTTCTTTTTGGCTCCTTGTTGCTTCTGCTGGTGTGGACACGTGTTTGTTTTTGGGTCTTCTGGATCTTCCTCTGTTTTCTCTGTTGTGTGTCTGTGAAGGTTCTCAGTCATCCAGGTCATCGTAGTCAAAGGAGCTTGCAAAGAAAAGCGTCTGGACTTGTTTAAGTTGCTTGAAGACGTTTCACCTCTCATCCGAGAAGCTTCTTCAGTTCTAAGGTCAAATGGTGGAGAGTCCCACCATTTGACTCTCTGTTGTGGTTTTGCACCCTCATGATCACGTATGTTTTATCTCACACACACACACATATACATGAGGTCATTGATGTTTGTTTAAGTGCAGAGATGGTGCAGATAGACTTGCAGCTATTTGCGAACTTGCGGTTTCAAAAATGTTAACACAATATTTTCCATCAGCCACGTCTCTTTAAAAAGTGATCCTTCCTGTCATGGTCTGATCTAAAGGTCCATGGTCTGATCTAAATATCCTTAATTTCATTGTACATGTACAATGAGAATAAAGGGCTATTCTATTGGCAGTGTGAAGAGGGAAGGAATGAGGATTTGACCCAAAATGCAGACTCTTAGAAAAGGTTAACTTAAACCCAGCTGTATTGCTGGAATACAAAAAAATGCAAAACTACAAAAAAAATTATTTGAAACTAAACGGCAGGCAGAACACACAGCTGTACGATGAGGGAGACCGCGATGCAGGACAGAGAGAGATGCAGGCATAAATACACACAAGAACAAACAAGGGAACAAACCACAGGAGGGAATCGTAGCTAAGAGGAGACACTTGGAAGCACAGCTGGACACAATTTAAACTGAACATGATGCACAAAGCACAAGTGACTATGAAAGTAAAACAGGAAGTGTGCAAAACGCACATTGAGACACAGGCTGTGTCCAAATTCAGGGGTAGCATTCGTCGATGGCTGCATTTGTAGGCAATTACGTCACAAAGACGCGACGAAGGCTGTCCAAATTTGAAGAGTCCTCCAAATGCGGCGACAAATGTGTCCTTCATTTCCCCAGATTTGAAGGATGTGTTGGCTGTATCGTTCGTGGCCCACCATATCCCAGGATTCATTTTGGATTTCAGGATTTCAGTTTGATATGTTTTAATAATAAATTTTAAGAATAAATCAATTTGCACATCATATTCATATGAGTACGGTTTTATTAACCCTCATACTGTACAGAACCGGTGATGTCCAGACAGTATTCCTCTTGTGTTCTGCTGTGAAAACTTTAGGCATTAACATACTTGCCATGGTTTTCTCTCTTCTCTTATTTTTTGTGTGTGATCAGGACAATTCTGGAGAAGATGGGCCTGCAGGGGAAAGTCACCCCCATGCAGGCTAGAAGAAATGGGATAACTGAAGGGTGGCTGACCTAAGAACATAAACAGAGGGATAACAACTCTACAGGGCAGAATCATGACCTCTGAATATTAAATAACCCAAAACCATAAAGTCCAAACCCAGAACGCTGGGTGCAAACCCAGGATCATGACTATATTTATATATCAACAACAGCCTTTGACACACATGTAGGCAACGTGGCTGCTTAGAGGAACAAAGATGATATTCTGTAATGCCATGTTTGTAGTTTGATCTCATATTATCACTGCATGATCTTACTTGTTGAATAAAAATATCACTGTACATCTTTGTATAGTTGAATATAGTAAAAACAATTTTTTAGGGTTTAAAAAGTTTTAATTTATCAAAACATAAACAATATTTTCCGTTTTCATAGTCTTCAGTGAGACGGCTTCAGAGCGTAAACAGGTCAAAAACAAGCTTTGGTGCTCAGCAGCTCTAAAAGTGTTTAAGTTGTTGACTTTGACTGTTCTCTCTGTATTCTGACACATGATGGCAGAGCTGCATACAAAAGTGCTGCCAAGTAAAAAAGCAGTAAAAGAGTCACAGACACAGAAAAAGCTCTTCAAAATTCACCAGTGACTCAGTGACTCAGTTCGTTTCAAAACACTTTATTAAACTGAATTATTGCAGAGACAAAACAAGATAAACAATCAGCGTAATAACAAAAAGCTGTGAGGGGCTTTTTTTCTAACTCTGTCTGTTTCACATTTTCGTTGCCTAATTGTTACGTCCACTCTGACCAGTACCAGTTTATACAGAGATCAAATTAGTACTCAGCAGGATTGAGTTCAGTTTATTGATGCGGCCCTCCACAACAGGCCCAGTTTCTCATGTGGACCCTCAGGAAAATGAATTGCCCACCCTGCTTCAGAGGGTCTCTGTGCCACAGCAGACTCCTGACCCAGAATCACACTTACAGTAAGTCATCGTCTTCAAAAGCAACCGAATGATCTGTGAGGTCAAGCTGCTCAGTTATTATTCATTTCTGGCTCTTTTCCACAGTGTTACCCCAGCAGGTGGTAGATGACCGCCCCTCTCTGAGCCTGGTTCTGTCAAAAGTTTCTTCCTGTTAAAAATGAGTTTTTCATTCTCACTGTCACCAACTGCTCACTCATAGCCGTCTGATTTGGAGTGTTTCTCTGTATTATTGTACAGTCCTTACAATATAAAACCCCTGGAGGCGACTGTGGTTATGATTTTGCACCTTATAATAAAAATTGTCAACTTTCATTTATATAGCACCAAATTACAGCAACAGACAGTTAAACTGAATTGAACTGAATTACTTGACAGTTGTGTGCGCTGTCTGAGGACAGTCACTGTGTTTGTAAGTAGCCGTGTTCATTTTGTCACATGTTCTTTCTACTTTCTCCTCTTTGGATTTTAAACAATTTGTTGAGCACTAATGTGCACATGAAGCCCATTAGTGCTTTGAGTGCTCCAAGCGGGTAAAAAAGCGCCTCCGTCCAGTGAAAGAGCGCTGCCTGCTGCCGCTCGAAGAGGTCAGAGTCCGCTGGGTCCACAATGTAGGGTCATGTCATTCTGTCAGGGGTGTCGTGTGTGGATGCGAGGAAAGGAGGACCCAAACGCTGGACTCACAGGTAGGTGAAGGCTGGTGTTTATTATGACAAGCAGATGAGCTGAACATAAGATGACTGGCTGAACTGAAATGACTGTCTTAACTGAACACACGTGCAGAGTAGACAACATTAACATCAATGACACGACAAAGACCAGGATGAAACTGAGGACTTAAGTACACTGGCTAATGATGATGATTAGGGACCGGTGAGAACACAGCTGAACATAATGAAACAGGAAGTAGAGCTAATGACACTGAGACAGAGGGCTGGCACGGTGAAGCGGGAAACATGAATGTGGAACATAAACTGAACATGAACTGAAAACACCAGGTGAACCACCCAGAAGAAAAGCTGCTCTGGAAACATGAGCAATAGTTTGACAGGTGAACAGAAAGAGCTTGAAACTCAGCAAACACGAGGCAGTTTGACACCAGAACAAAAGAGAAATGTCTCCCAAGAACAGCAACAACTTCAAGTCTGTGAATGTAAAGTGAGTGTAATCTCTAAGACTTGAAACTGCAGATTAGAATATTTTGATGAACATGAAACCATCAGAAATGTTACATGAACCAAATCAGTAAAAGTGGAAGATGGAGGATGGCAAACATGCAAAAGAAAAATCAATACTTAGCAGAAGTATTGTTGTGTGAAAATGTCACATAAGGTGTTCAGCATTAAAGGGGATATGAAACACTACATGTATAAAGGCTAATTTACATCATGGAGCCCAGCTCTCAAAAACTGACACAGATGTAACTCTGACTGTGAAGCTGGATTTAAGAAATAACTGCTTAAAGTTATAAAAACACATGTATCACCATATTCTGTCAGTACAGAGCATGACGGATAGTGGGAACAGCAGAGAAGATCATCGGGGTCTCTCTCCCGACTACACGCTGTATTCGCAAAGCCACCAGCATTGTGGCTGATCGGACACACCCCTCTCACACACTCTTCACACTCCTAACATCTGGAAAAACGTACCGAAGCATTCGGGCACACACATCCAGACTGTGCAACAGCTTTTTTCCACAAGCCATCCGTCTCCTCAACAAAAAGGGACTGGACTGATAAACACAAACGCGCACACACACATATAGAAACATACACACACACACACACACACACACACACACACACACACACACACAACATTATCACTCACCTTAACTTAACTACCTCAAGCATTGAGTCTAGACTGACTAATCAACACAAGCGCAAACACACCGACCCACACCGACCTACACCACCAAACTATCGTATACACCAACCTGTAAATGCTCTTTTGCACAATATTATTACTGGATTTTTGCACTAACTTCTTTACTTCCTAGTCTTCCTTAGATAGTTAGATAGTTAGTTTTTTGTTAATTTATGTTGTAATTTATGTTAGGTCAGTCTGTCTTGTCTCTGCTAGCCAGCAAACTAGGCCTCTTAGTTAGCTAGTTTAGTGTTACCTTATGTTGTAAATTTATGTTGCATGTAGCACCTTGGTCCTGGAGGAACGTTGTTTCGTTTCACTGTGAACTAAATGTATATGGTTGAAGTGACAATAAAGCCAACAAGACAAGACTCCACCAGGTCACTTGGTTAGTTTCAGTCAAAAGACTCACATTAGGTTGTGTTAGGTAACTAATAACAGAACCAATAACTCGAGGAAAATAAGGACAGTAAAACATCAGTTTAATGGGGTCACTGGCTGCACCTCGTGCCTGTCCCATCTGTGGCTTCCTGTTGGAGAACAATAAAGTTTATTATAAAAACATTGCCTGCCCTCGATGTAAAGTGAAGTTCTGTTCTGTGTGTTTGAGTCTTTACAAAGAGTGTGACGTTAACTGTACCTTATTGACTGTTTAGGAGGTGCGACCCTCAGACACACCTCTGTACCTGTGTGGAGGAGGAAATCATCCTGATTTACTTTCATTGATTTAAACATGTGGTCTCTGATATACACATGGTATCATTTGTTGTGTGTTCTGTATTGTAAAGATTTCTTTTTGTGCAAAAATGTGAAAATGAAATGAAATGTATTTTCTTCTTTTCAGAGCAGGTGATACAGAGCTGAGTGTGGAGCTGGAGAAAAAGCTTTATGTGTAAAACTGGTTACAAAGTAGCTGTTAGTCAGCCAGCAGGAGATAAAAGCATCCAGGAAGCTCAGACTTTGTATCCAGTGTCTCTGTACTAGGGATGGGTATCGTTTAGGTTTTATCCGATACCGGTGCCAAATCGGTACTTTTGAAACGGTGCCGGTGCTCAAACGGTGCTCAAACCGGTGCTTAAAGAATGGAGAACACAAAATTGGTCCAAAAACCTCTCATATTCAGCTGTTTTTTTGTAAAAAGATAACAATGTTAGCCTTTTCTGCAGCTATGGGGCATATATGGTATCACTCTTAGCTGGAAGCAGTGCTTAAACAATGGAAAAAATACAAACTTTGTCCAAAAACCTCTCAGTTTAGCTGTTTTCCACTTTTTCTTTGGTCATTTTAGCCTTTTTGGCCAGGGTAAAGGGAGCATCTGCCATCAAACAAGAAGACAGCCGCATGTAGCTATGATGATGTTTGCTAGTTCACCTTACATGCATTAATGTAATAACGTGGTTAGCCTACTCAACGTAAATTACACACGAACAACATGAAGCTACTCATGCAGAGAAGAACGGCTGCTGCTGCCATCAAATACGGCGCATTTCTTGGCTTTAAAAAAAAACCCGCTATGCGTCGCCAGGTGTTTCATCGGATTTGAGGTGTTACCTCCTTTGACAGCATCACAGTATCAGCTTAAAGCCCTTGTTGCAGGCTGCTGAGTTTGCATATTTTGCTGTGAAGTACAGCCAGACTTTTGACCGCTTCGCCTTGGGCATTTTTAATCTGTAGCTCTGCATAAAAGAACGTACGTACCTGGACCCGCCTACTATCCTCGGAAACGTAAAATGATTGGCTAGAAGTGTATCACAGCTCAGGAAAAAAAAGCACCGAAATGTGCGCTGCTTTTCGGTCTGGTTACTACCGTTTATGTCAGAACCGGTGCCATCATGGCACCGGACACCGGTACCCATCCCTACTCTGTACATTATGTGTTTCTGTGAGGTGGAGATCTAACAAACCAAACACTGCATGGGACTGTTGTGACTGTACCTGCATCCCATCTTCATTGTAGTAAACAGCACTCTCCTCTGGTGTGTCGTGTTGCCCTGTGAGGTGATCAAATTCATCCACAAATGAAAACAAATACGTTTTTAAAGGATGTTTGTTTTATTTTTAAACTGCACGCGTTTTATGTACTCACTCTTTCTTCTAAGATCTTTAAACTCAATAAGAGAGGAGGCGACGTTTTCATATTCATCTGCTCCTGAAATGTTCATAATTTTATTTACAGGATTGTAAAAACATGGAATTAGTTTCATTAAATCAAAAACAAGTTTCATCTCTAACTGCTCTGTGCTTTCCAGCACATATACTGACCATTTCTGTTTGTCACTTGTGTGACTGATTCATAGACGTCAGCAGTACCTAAAGGAAAAACAAGCCAGGCTCACATTAATCATTTTATTAGTTACACTAAAGATCAGAGCAAAAACAGAAACACTGTGTGAGTCAAAACCAGGACTGTAAGATCTTTAAATGTTCTTTGAAAAACTGCTGAACACAAACTGAACCTATTAAATGTTTGTGTTAATGGAGGTTTAATAAAAGTAAATATTAATAATGATAATAAAGACTGTTTTTCAATGCTGACCATGTTGAAGAGAGTCGTACACATGAGTTTCATTCAGGTTGACTCCATGATTTGTGGAGGAGCCTGGACTGTGACTCTCAGACTGGATCGACCTAAAACATGAAATAAACACAATAAACTCAAAAGTAACTGATGTTTGTTTCAAATAATAATAAAAAGTATTTTACCAACCTGGTGAAGCAGGAATCTGTGAAAGAGACAAATGTTATTACACATGTTTGTCATGTATAAATTGTTCCACTAATATTTAGTGTCATGAGATCAGAATACATGTATATGTGTGAATAATTAAAGTGTATGTAGTAAATAAACTCTCTAACACAGCATGAAAAGAAGAGGCTCTTACACTTGGACTGTCTGCAGCGATACAACAAGAGCAGGAGAATAATAATGAGAGAGACTCCACAAACCAGTCCAACAATCAACCACACAGGAGATGAAGAGCTGTCAGCTCCTGACACAGCTGCTGAAATGACTAATAATAATTAAGTAATAATAAAGTATAATACTTATTATACTGCATATTTCAGTTCTCACAAAATAGATCCAGGTGACTTCAAGCATTAAACAGACAATCTAATGTTTCTTCTCAAGCATGAAAATCATTTTTACAAAAATCTATCAAATGTTTTGATCCTGCTCACCTTTAACTGACATCCAGCTCTGTGCTGACTCTCTTCCTGAGTACTGACACTTGTAGAAACCTTCATCAGACTTTGACACTGCAGAGATCTTCAGCTCCCCTCGGGGATCATTTTGAATAAGTTTGTCATTGTGATAGAAAAACACATTGGAAAGTATTTTTTGTGTTTTCAAACTGCAGCTCAGACTAACAGAAGCTCCCTCAGTCACAGGATGAACAGGACTCACCAGGATAGGACCATTACCATCATCTGTGACACAATCACACACAATTGTTTCAGTCAGACCAGCTGGTGCACACTTTTAGAAAAGCTGACATACAATAATAAGAACAGATTGTAAAAATGCTTTTCATTATGAAGATCTGATCTTGTGTATTTATAACTGTTGTATGAGTCGTACTATACTATACATTCATCATCTGGTCATCTTCAAACACTCTCTGACATTATCATAGCCCTTAATAAAAATGTTTAATATTTCTGCAGAATTCTTTCTAAAACTTTTCATATTATACTGACCAAGTTAAAGACATATAATTATCAGGACTTTACCAGCTTTAACCCTGATCAGCACTAATAAAACAGACAACACTGAGTCTGACAAATAAGTAAAATAAATGGAAAGCCAAAGAGCCGAATACTGACATGTTTAAGATGATCCTGACTTTTTTTTTTATCTTTCTCCATCTCTGAGTGAAGTTAGCTCTCTATCTTTTGTCTCCCTGTTAAATACAGCAGCTGGACCTTTAGCTAGCACTCTGCCCACAAACTTTATAGAATAGTGTCTGAAATTGACAGAATCCAGAAAGTCCAAATGTCTTTTTCCTTGTCTTCTTTGAACTCCTCCCACACCCAGGTTTTTCCTTCAGCCAGTGCCCGAGCCATGTTTTTCTTTGCCTGCCAAGAAAAATCAGCTGCCTCCAAAGTCCCACAGGCTAACCAAGCCCGATAGGACTCCTCCTTCACCCTGATGGCTCCCTTCACTTTTGCTGTCCACCAGCTGGTTCATAGGTTACCACCACAATAGGCATCAACCACCTTTCAGCCACAACTCAGTGCACCACCAGCAACAGGGATTCCCTGGTGTTCCTGGGACACACAAACCTCCACTACGATAAGGTAGCGAGACACAGAGTGCATATAATAATAATAATAATAATAATAATAATGATAATACACGTTGACTGGACTGTGTAAATGCCTGGCTGTGACTTCCCCGAGCCAGAGGACCTCAGTATAAAGAGCCAAGATGGCTTTCCACTTACAGAGGAAAATTTGCCCAACCACTTGCATAAGTGTTATGTTGTAACTTTTAATGTTTGATCTGCATCTTGAAGATGTAAGCAGCAGTGAGCTGCTATTTATTATTAGTCTTGGGAGGTTAGCTATTGTTTTTTGGGTTACTTCTTTTGGGTTTGTAATCTCAGTTTGCAGTAGACATTTCTGTGTGTTTCTTATTTTGGGTTAAGTCCTGTGTTTGTAAAGCTGTGGAATAATCAAAACATCTATTCTTTATTTAAATGTTGTTTCTGTGCCGCCTTGTGGCTTGCGGATAACTGATGCGTTTTCATGTTGGATCTTAGCTTCAATGACAGGATGTAGAATGTAAGTGTAATCAAACATTTATGAAGCACTTTTCAAAGTCCATATTTTAAAGTGCTCTATAGGAGCAACAGAATAAAGTAGAATAAGGTGGCAAATAGAGGAATAGGTCAGTTAAAATAATTTCTAACAAAGACAAGGGGTTTTATTAGATAATAAGGGATTGCCACAGACAGTAGTTGCAGTTTAAAGATGAACAGTGTATAACTGCTGCTATGATTATTCTTTCTACTCTCAGTGTGGCCGTGAGTTTAATGCTCTTGGGTTTAGAGCAAAAATAAAGCAAAGCATGGTTTGTTAAGTAAGTCTTGTAGATGCCTCCATCAGAAACAGTGATCACAGCCTCTGAGCTCAGTGGAACAAAGAAAGTCTGCAAACCCACCACATCTGTCACACACATAATAATAATGGATTGCATTTATATAGTGCTTTTCGAGAACCTCAAAGCGCTTTACAATTCCACTATTCAGTCACTCTCACATTCACACACTAGAGGAGGCAGCTACAGTTGTAGCCACTGCCCTGGGGCAGACTGACAGAAGCGAGGCTGCCATATCGCTCCATCGGCCCCTCTGGCCAACACCAGTAGGCAGTAGGTAAAGTGTCTTGCCCAAGGACACAACGACCAAGACTGTCCGAGCTGGGGCTCAAACCGGCAACCTTCCGATTACAAGAGGAACACCTAACTCTTGAGCCACGATCACTCCCAGCTGTAGGTTTATTTCTCCCCTTCTTCTGCAACATTGACTTCAAAACTAGGTGAATACCTGAGAATGACCAGGTGAGCCCACCTTGCATGAACTTGCATGAATTAAGTACAGCTCCACACACATTTGCAAATCTATAAAACGTAATTTATTTTTACCAATTTAAGAAACAAATTTCATCACTCTAAATAAAAAATATTTATTGATTATACACAGATTGAAATACGCACACAAAAAGTCACTATCATTCAAACACCAAATTACAGGGAAAAAAGTATTTTTTGTCCTTTTTCCAGTAGAGCCCATAGACATGTAAATATGTGCCACTGTACAAATCTGTGAAGAGGTGTAAGCCCAATGCAGGAGACAAAATTAAATAAATAATAAGGAGCTCTACCAGCTAATCGGTCTTTAAAAAGGGAGAACAAAAGAACAAAACAAGTACACTGACAAGGAAAAAGGGGACGATTTAGGCATGACTGGAAATGAAAGACAGGTGAAAACCATCTGCAAAGTTGCAAATGATATAACAATTTCTTACCTTCAGCCATTCCATAGATGACTGTACTGAGCACTAAAATAATGAATAGAACTTCATCAGACATTATACAACTGAAGAAATCAAAATCAATATAAATTAAGGCTCTTTTTAAAAGATGAACCGTAATCATCAAATTTCTGTGCTCCTACTTGTCAAACTAAACAATATAACTAAAATAATTGTAACACAGTGTGTAACTATAAATGATCCAGCATCCAACATTCAGTAAAAAAAACTCACAAGTCTGCTTTGTTCCAGCTCTCAAGTAAACAGGTTAAAGCAGTGACTCACTGTAATTCTCACAGATCAGAAACATTTTCATTAATCGCTGCCATTCAAACGAGGTCAGAAGTGTACTTACAGAAAAAGCCCATCATGCAGACCAAAGAGTGCCCCATCATCACATCCAGCCTGCTGCACTCTGATCCTCAGATAATCAAACAGTTTTACTTTGCAGAAAAAAGAAAGACAGAAAAGAGTTGTGTATCGTACAGATAAGACAAGAGTATTTTTCTACAGTTTTTTCTTCTGATTGGTCTCTCTGTGCTTCCTTCCCTTTTCCACAAAACTCAAACAGTGCCTGTGGCTTTGACCGCAGCACTTGTGCATCATGTTTAATTTCCTGTGCATTGCAAACATAGATGTTTGTTTCTTGCGTTGTGTTGTTTCCTTTCTCTATAATATACAAACATGTTCTTTTGCTTGAAGTCAACATATTTGACCAGGTCAATTTTTTTATCATTTAAACTCTGACAAGTTTTTGCAGTGTCCTGTGTATCATTATCACGCTGCAATATTCCACTTGCAGCAGATTGGGAGTCACTGGGAGTGAATGTACCAAAACACCTTTTCTGCTTTGCAGGCTGTATTTTAACATTTCAGTCTTTTAAATGAAGAAAATTATGAGAAATTATGTTGAAATTCTTATTTCATGCTGCATAAAAACATGTAGATTTTATTTGACTGTTAGCTGAAAAATCAGCATACAGTACTGTGGTGAAAAAGGTTCTTTTGATCTCAGCATAGACCTATGAATGTTTTTACCTTGTGGTTAAATTCTGGCTTTAGGTTTGGTTGAGACCCAAACACAGGAGACTAACCTGTGAGTCATCACAAATTCTTCCATATGAAGAACTTGTGATGACCCAACTTACAGCCTTCAGTAAACATAAATAAATAAATCAGAATAATACACTCTATGATTTGACAGAAGTACAGCCAAACATATCAGTGTACACTGATATGTCAGAAGATATTACCCTGTTCCTACAATATGAGTGAATGAACTCTACCATTACCAACACTTATTCATTGTTTTCATTTTTGCTGTGGATTGTAATTATGTGAGATGCCAGGATGTTTTGTTGTGTATCTAATTGTGTTATAATAATTATTCCTTAAAAATTTTTATTTTTATATTTTTACTCATGTTGCCATAGTAACTTTAAAATTTGAATTCATACTTAGTAAATTCACAGAGCATTGCAACAAACCACATGTTGCTTCGTTGTGTTAAACATTTCACTTATAACTGGATCTAACTTCCAGTTCCTCTTTACACATACTGAGGTTAGATAACAAGAATAAAATGACACCACACTCACACCAGAGCTAAAGTGTTTTTAAGAGACATCAAGTTTCAACTCTGTGGAAGTTGTGTCCTCTGATTTTTTTTCCCCAGTTAATAATGCAGAAATGAAAGCACAGTGTCTATAATAAATTGAATTGTTCTTACTATTTTAGTTCTAAAGGCTGATGGAGAAAAACATAAGATCACTGAGGGGGTTTTTAAGTGCAAAGATGGTGCAGATAAGCCTGTAGCTACGTGAGAACTTTCAGTTATACTTCTTGGTTTGTGAACCAAACCACGTACAGACTGACTTTCAAAAGGCCACAAAGTTTTATTCATTCATGTTCATGTTTGGTCACAGAAGCACAAACTTCTTAACTTGCAGCTGAAATCTTGCCTCTCCATGTTTTTTTTTGTTTGTTTCTTTTCTTTTGTTTTTGTTTTTTTAAGTAATGTTGTGACCTATACGTGGAAATGTGGAAATATTTCTTCTGTTTTTTGGGTGAGATTATTTCTAAATTATTTCTCCTAAAAATGTAAGATTTAAAGTAAGAATTGCTTTATGGTGCTCAAATGGTGAAACAATAAAAATACAGATCAAACTGGAAGATTTATCACGATAGATTTGATTATTGTACTGTTGAGCCTCATCCTCAATGACTTTACATTGTCTTTACTAAGATCAGAAACAAGTGTAGCCAATACAAATATTCATAGCAGTAGGGATGGGTACCGGTTCTGACATAAACGGTAGTAACCAGACCGAAAAGCAGCGCACATTTCGGTGCTTTATTTTGGTGCTT